AGTTCACCCAGACGGCCTAAAATTCTCTTTACAACTAATGTGTTGCAGCCGGAGGTTTCAAAGCACCTGTTATGGGCTTCGCTCCGCTCGTTGGATCACCACAATAAAAAGTCTTGGAGGGATTCTGAATTTAGGTTGGATGCCATCTGAAGAAACCTTTGGCGTCATTGCTGCTAGTAATTGGATGGTGGTGGAAAGTCTGCAGACCTTTTAAGAAAGTTTCAGGAACTGAGACGAGAGCTCTGAGCCCAAGCGTGCACCACCGCTTGTTGCTTCCTTCCCACAAGCTTATGCATCCTCTCTGTCACCCCTGCCAACAAGTCATGAGGAACATGTTCTTCTTCTGACCATCAAATTGAGGAGTCAGCATTGCTCCAACTCTGTGGCTGGGGGGAAGTAGAAATCATAATTCAGCCCTCCGAACAAAAGGCCCCTGTACAGAGGGGGTCCAGAAAGCAGAAGACAACGTGAAAAGCAGACGAGAAAGGAAAGCCGTCTGGCAGAGTGATGGCTCCTGCGCCTACGGTCCTTGGTTTGCCTGGTGCATGGGCTGAAGATCCTCTTGAGGCCTCCTCGCACTACACCACTAAGGTTGGGGGTGTGCCGGTGAGCGCCTTTGACCTGGTTCCATACTCAACCCTCAGTCCAAGAGTTGGGGCCTGTTTGATGCAGAACATGGTTCTTGCAAAGTGCTTTGATTCTTCTCTGTTTCACATTAAAGCTAACACCATTGTGGTGGTGGGGGAAGACATGTGGACAATCTTGTTGTGACTGACAAGGTGCTCTTGTATGCTTTCCCATCGCAATCTGGAGCTGGGAAGGCTAGAGCACAGCGCAAAGCTTAGGCGAAACGGGAGCTTTTCCAAAACAAGCCTAGACTTATGACACTTTCAGAGAGAAATGATTCTTGTAATGATTCTTCCCCCAAGCTTGGACAACCTCATCATGGAAAAACGAGTGCAGAGGCCGTTCTATAACAGCAAAAGTGAACCAGCTCACGTGTTTCGTTTGGTGCAGTGCTGGCCTTCAGGGGTGGAAGCAATTCTTTCAGATGAGCGCCTGGCGTGCAGAGCATGCGGAAGGAGACTGGGGCTCGTCGTTCAGGTTGGCGAGGAATCACAATGCTTATTAGAGTTAGACTTGATCAATCTCAGGGTGTGGCTCTTGAGAAGATTCGTTGTAATGATCTACCTTGGACGGGACTCTTTGGATATGACAATGAAAGAAAGAGAGCATTCGAACTGTCTGTAGAAAGCCGTTTGTCAGAGAGTGCGCTGTTCTTGAAGGACGCAATCATTGCAACCAACGATCCTTTCGCTCAGGCTCTTGCTGAATCTACAAAGCTCGTCTTTGCTCTGTCTCTCTCTCGCTCTCGCTCATTCTCCCATTATCAAGCCACCCATCATCAAGCCAAATGTTGTCTGACAAATGTGTTCAAAGCTAGTCCCCAGAAGTTTCACCGTGCGCATATGATTCAGCTGTTGGCTCACATAGCGTACTCTGGTCGAGTTCGGCGCTTTCTTACAAACCATCACAAACTGTTCAAGTCCTTTGAACGCAGGCGTATGCACCACTTTTCCTGAAAGGCAGGGACATTGCCGAGCGGACACTGTACGTCTTTGGCTGCCTGTCGTCCAACTGCGGGTATGACCCGCTAAGGTGCGCTCACTTCGAAAACTGGCCTGCACAGTCCTTATCTTGCTCAGGAGCCGGCCAGTGGCAGCTAGCCCCTCTTTAGGGCTCTTATTGACCATTGAAAGTTTCACTTGAGCTTATAAGGCGACTTGCTCGGAGAAGCCGTCTTTCAAGTGCTTAGATAGATAACAGGAGACATATCTTTTCTTTTTACTTAGTGTCGCCGCTTCTACTCCTTGCCTTCGGGCAGGCACACGCGGCCTGCAAACAGGAATGCATCGCATCACGACTGAAAGGCCTTTAATCGTCCACGATCATCCTTCCATGGTAAAACCGGTTTCATCCTCTCCAGGTGTCTAGTCCATATTTTCTGGTGGTATCCAAGATTGCAGCTCACACAACTAGCTACGGTTGAAAGTTGTTTGCGGGATAATCTCTCTCATGAAAAGCGATGCCTTTGATCCTTTTCCTGGCCTCAAGAGCTCAGCACCGGCGTCTCTCGCAACTGTTCGGCTGCTGTCATCTCATTTCTCAAACTAATCAGGTCTTTACCTTCACTCTGCAGTTGGCGTGTCTTCCGGGTTCAGGGAGAGGATTCTGGTATCAAGTCCGCGGAGCCTGCCGAAGCGTCAAGCGCGGTTGACACCGTCAACTCCGCTGGTTCGACAGCGGCCGTCGGTTCGGACAGCTGGTGGCAGGACGACTCGTGGGGCGCAGCGCCAAGCGAACGGGCCGACGCTCGGGCAGGAAACAACGAAATGGAGGCGGAGAGTAGATCTGAGACGCTCGTCGCGTCTACCGAGGGTCCTGACGCCAGCAGACTGACGTCAGCAGAAAGTGATCCGCTTAGACTGGGAGACAGCAAAGCGTCAGGTTCAAGCGGGGCGAAGGACCAAGAAACCGTCCAGGATGGTCGGAAAGGAGAAACGGACGTCCGAGCAGGGAGTTCGGACATCCGGTCGGAGGACGCCCCCACGGCAGACGACTGGGGTGATTCTGACAATTCCTGGGGCGGTGGGGCCGCCAGCGAATGGAATGCGGACGGCACCGCGCTGGACATGAGCGCGCTGTCCGAAGCGATCGCCGAGGCTGCGGACGGCGCCAGCAAGCGGACGGAGAAGCCCCGGGGCGATGACGTCAGCGGAACGAGGGTGACGTCAGCGAGTTTGGCGGCGCACGGGGGGGACGAGCGGGCGAGGAGCGGTGCCGGGGCGTCCGTTCTGCCGTGCTTCTACATCGTGGCTGGAGAGGAGGCGCCGGAAAAGAGGCGGAAAGAGGCAGAGGTGGGCGTCTCGATTTATACGTTTTTCAGAGTGCGGTTGGCATGCTGACGTTGTACGACAATGGCTGCATTCGAGGCGAAACCACACTTTTTGCAGGAAAGGGACTGGACACGTCGAGGTTCGTGATACCAAGCATTAAATCTGTTACTTTCAGTAAAATCATTCCTATTGCGTCTGGATGGACTTCGGGTATTGGCGTTCCATCGATGACGTGAGAAGACGTCCTCTCGAGGTCTTCAAGCGGTCGTTTACGTAGAACCCGCCACAGAAAAGCTTTTTTGGGGGTTTTGAAAGGTCCAGAAAAGCACAAAACCTGTGCCAATCGTCGCTTGCAACTGCAGTCCGCGACTGCCACGGTTGGCAGCCCGGACCTGAGCAGCGAATCAAACGTATCATCTGCGATTTGCTCTTCTTAAGATGACGTCGGCTGACGTCAGCGGAAACACTCCCTTACCTAGGTGTCCCGGTTGGTGACCGAGAGCCCCGGGGAGGAGTCCTGGGAGGGCGAGGGCTACGAGTACGACAGCGCGCGCTCCGCCGACCGGACGTTCCTGCGGTTCCGGAAGCGGGTCGAGCGGGCGCCGGAACAGTGCATCAGGTGAGGACTTTGGCGGCTTGAGCTGCGTCTGGGTTTGGTTTTGGGGTTGGGGTTGGGTTTGGTTTGGGTTTGGGTTTGGGTTTGGGTTTGGGTTTGGGTTTGGGTTTGGGTTTGGGTTTGGGTTTGGGTTTGGGTCTGGGTCTGCATTTGGGTTCGACTTTTGAGTCTTGAGTTTCAGTTCGGTTTGGGTGTTGGGATTGGGGTTGGGGTTTCGATTGGGCTTCGCTTTCGGGTTCACTTCTGACCTCGGGGGGTCGTGGATTCCGGATTCGTGCTTGAATCTGGGCTGTGGGTTTCGGATTCGTGCTTGGATTTGGGCGCATATTCCGGGCCTCTGGTTGACCATTCTGTGCTAGTCCGCGGCTTCCACAAGCGGGTGGAGACGCTCCGGAATACTGCATCACCTGAGACTTTCCCGAGCGGCTGTCCTTGAGTATCTCTTTACTTATCACTACTCAAGACTTCGTTATTGGGTTATGTGAGCCTCCGACTTTCCACCCGTTTATGTCTTTCGTAACTCAATGCGCGGGTCTGAGTTCGGCGAACAGATTCGTGAGAAACGGACGAAGTCTGTAACATTGCTTTCAAATAATTGTCACCCAGGTCCTCCGGAAACTGAAACCGTGCCCCAAGTCAGCGTTTACGGGGCACATTCTTCTCAAAATTGCCAAACCGTCCGTTGTCATGTGCCCAATCGTTGCGGAACCCTGAAAATGTTTCGCTCTTTCATAAAGCTATGCGGCACTGCGTCATGTTTAGTCACTAGTTCCGGCACTCACTCAGCTCAGATGTAACCACCCCTCACTCCATCTTCCGTTTCAGATACGGCTTCCAATCGCAACCGCTGCTCGCTCGCGCCCTCTCCGCGCCCCCCCCTCCCTGCCCTGCTTGCGGAGCCCCCCGGACGTTTGAGATGCAGCTGATGCCCCCGCTGCCTTATTTTCTGGCCGAAGCCTCGGAGGAGGCCGCGGGACAGGTGGCGGGCTGGGAGTGGCTGACGCTGCTAGTGTACACGTGTTCCGAGGTGAGCCGTTAGAGGTTGTAAGAGCATTGATGGTTGAGCTCTGTGACATCTTCCAAGTGTGTGATTGTTGAGAGTCGTGTCACTCTCCTCGTGAGAAAGAAATGTTAATTGATTGGTCATAAAAGCCGGCTTTCTTAGGCCAATTGTGCAGAAAAAGTTGTCAGTTCTAGTATCAAGGGCTGATTTCCATTTGATCAGAATGAATGCGGTTTTTAACTTGCAATCGCCATGATGAAATCTCTTGCATGCACCTCAGACTCGTTGTTGGTGATTTTAAGAAGATCTCCTTTGACATAAATGCGTAAGCAATCGCCAAATACTCCACGATTTGACAGGAAGCGTTAGCGGTGGCAGCAAGTGCCGAGGCCAGGATATCAACCGAGCGATGGCCTAGCTTTTAACGGACAATTACGACTGCTTCCTTGCAGGCTTGTACGAAGCCCGAGAAAAGCGGCGGCCACGTGGCGGTCCAAGAAGAGTTCCACGTGTACCAGCACGAGCTTGACAGCGTGCGGGGTCAGCCGCAGGTTGTCAAGTAGTCGACTCTTACAATCCTGCGGAGTACCTCTCTGTTGTAACATCCGCATGTACAGATTCACTTGCCCCGCCCTTCGAAGGCCCAACCTCTTTTGGCTGGATCAAGGTGTGAAAACCCCCCACGCGCAAATTTGTCTTTATGCTCGTCGCCTGCGGTATGCTACCTGTTTCTTGGCTTGTGTTGGAATCACGTACTTGGCCACGGGATGAGAAGCATATTGCTGCCGCGTGATAGCGCTCTTAATTGAAGACCTTCAATCGTCGTATCGGCAGCGCGGGCCGTCCGTCCGACGGTCTTGATGCAGCTCCGGTGGCTCATCTAACCGTGTCTCAAATTCTCTTCAGTGTTCATCCTACTGCATGCCGGCGTGATAGCTATGACAATTGCATGTCAGGGCCAAGTTCACAGCCGCCGGCAAGCCTGCCATGCATGCACTTTGCCAATGTTCTCGACTGAATCTTGAACGAATTCGTGCGGGGACCTAGGATCATGATTTTATTATGCCTCCAAGACTTCCATGCCATGACTTAAGACTGCAAAGACGTGCATCCACGAATGCACGTGCTCTATTTCTCATGATGCACCGTCGTTCTCCATGGCTTTTCCAAAGGACAAGAGCCCCAAACGGAGCTCGTGACTACATGAAGCGGCGTCGATTTAACTGAGGCGGTTGCCACAACGTGGTACGAGTAGCTCGCTTTTATGGCCTGAAGTGCCCACAATTTGTGGTCACACATTCGAAGCGCCAGAGAATTATACGATCCACCAATCAAGCACTTCAATGAAGTGCATCCGAATTTCCGGCCATACATCGCAATTACAAGTCATATCGATGAGACAGACGCCGGGAAAGAACAGTTTGCGTTACTTGCAATAAAGCAACCGGATCGACGTCTTGCTGAGAGTAGCTACGCAGGCTCGCAACGCGACAAGCAACAGCTTGTTTTGGCGGATTTCACCCTAGTCCATTCAAAATGAGTCGGCCGTCACAATCCGTCTACAGTTTATACGACTCATTGCGTCTGAACTTGCTTGAACTCCCTCAGCATGGACGCCGCTGGTATTACAGCGTCGCTTTTTTTCCCGCTCGTCATCGGTATTTGAAGGACCCTCGACAACCACAGCGGGCCTTTTTCATGCCCTTCGAAGGCCCCGCAATAGCGCACGTGTTGCCCGGTCCGCTGCCACACCCCCCCGGAAAGCTCCAAGACGAGCGGCTCGCCTTGAACGTCGTGCAGCTGGCAGAAGTGTCAGTCTTCCAGAGACCGGATTATTGCAGGGATCTCGTCCGCTTGCAGCTTGAGATCAGGGACCGATTGCCCAACCAGGCGGACCCCTTGGTTTGTCGAAGGGGCGACGTCTTCCAGGCATGGTGCCAGCCTGAACGTGCTGATGGTGACCACTTCTCCGGCGCCCTTTCGGGGGCGACCCTTGGTGTCAAACCCAGGTCTCCACCCCAGAAGGCTCACGTGGTTGACACTGCCTGTTACTATAGCCATCGAACCCGCATGAGAACGAACGAGAGGCGTGGGGGCCCCGTTTGAAGACACAGGTGTGAAATACCTCCACCGCTGCTCCTCCGTTTTGAGAGAGCGTATCGCCAGATGTGGTCGGACCCAGATGTATAGGCACTCGTCGCTTATGGCCGTGCAAAACCTGTTACCGTCGCGGTCCATTGTCGCTGAAGCGGAAATGCGTTTCGGCACGCGGAGCTTTCGCCACGTGTCCGTCAGGGTGTCATAGAGGTTGCCCTGCGCGCCTGCCCGTTCATCAGAGTCATCAACCCCGAAGAGTCATCAACCCCGAAGCCAATCATCCAAAGCGGCAAATGCATTACAAAGATGTACCAATCAGACGCAACGACTGTGAAAGTCGTCTGATCCGTGTGCTCTTGGCATTGAACGAAGCACTCTATCTCAGGTGACAGAGGCGCTGTTCTTTGTCAAGGAGCAGCGCGCACCGCTCGCGCCAGCCCTCCGCCGTGCCAGATTGAATGAACGTAGTCGCATTTTGGTTACGTCTTTCCAGCCTTCAGGGCACTTTGGCTCGCTCAGGACGTATGGCGTATTCTTCACGACCACCAAGCTCTCCGGAATTTCCTTCCAGTCCTCCGCATCTTCCAGACCGCCCCCGCTTCCATAAGCACCCGCCATAAGCGGGTGCAGGTGAAGCTCTCCTCCAGTGTCATCAAGGATTGCCAAGCCAGGGTATGCCTTTTCTTCGTTACTGATTAACCTGCAAGCAAACTTGGTCAAACCCGCTTTGTGAAAGCGTCCCGGGTTCCCTAAGAGCCCTTCCTCTACCGCCTCCTTCCAAGCCTTAGAAACGCGCCTCAGCCGTCCAAGCTCCTCAAAGTCCAGCTCAAAGGCTGAGATGAAGCCGCATATGTACAGGTTGACGTCTGGGGGAAGCCGCTCAAACAAGGACATGATACCCAAATGTGGTGCGGGTATCCTGAAAGTCAGGATATGGGGCTTCAGGGGTACTTTTGATCAGCGAAAAGCTGGAAGTACATTCTTTTGTTCAGGGAAGCTTAAATTTTCGATTGTCCTAAGCTCCCAGGAAGAGGCCAAATATAGCAGCGGCGTTGGCGCAGCGGGCTAGACCATGTCGTACTTTTAATCGGTTTTTCAAGATTGCCTAAGTGCCAACAACCAGTAGCTTCACAATTGCCACACGGTCTCCCAACTGCTTCTGGCCCCAAAAACACAAAGACTGAGTTCCCAGCTTAACAAGATGCTTCAAAGGCAGCCGCTCGTTCCGGCGCCCTATCTACCCGCTTGTAAGGATTCCAATCAGCTAAAAACGCTTCACCGGAGGCCCCAAGTCTGAACCCGGAACAACCCACAACTCGAACCCGTAACCTTGAACATGAAACCAAACCCGAACCCGAAACTGGACCCGAACCCAAACGCAAACCTGAACGGCCGGGACCCAAACCCACCTCAAACCCACCCCAAACCCACTGAGCCCCAAACCCCCTTCGCCCACTCCACCCGCCTGAAGTTGAGAACTTGCGTCTGTTCCCCGCGCGCTGTCGTACTGGAAGCCCTCGCCCTTCCAAGAGTCCTGTTCCGGGCTCTTTCCACCACCCGGAATACCTAGAGGACGGGGCGTTCCCGCTGACGTCAGCTGACGTAAGCAATATTCACAGTTGCCAGAACACTGTGACTATCATGCGCCTGCTCGACTTATAGCTGTCAACTCTAGCAGATTGAAAACTCGATTGCAGTTCTTACACAGCCAATGGGCGCTCGAGATGAACCCTTGTGAGTAGCTGTGCGTGGCAACCTGGTGTGTCATAAGTCTGTAGTATTTTTTGCATGAGAAGAGGACATACATCCCGACCATGCTCATGGGTGATTTGTCAAATGCAAATCGAGACGAACGTCGGACCGTTAGCATGCAGTATCTGAAAGTGTCGATGACACATTAATACACGTGCCAGCTACTTTTAACTTACTCGTTGTTGGTGCTCTGCCCTCCGCCATGATAAAAGACAACAATAGCGAGGACTCAAATGCACGAAGACGCCAACATCAGGGTTGAAAGAGGCGCACTAAAATCGGAAGAATGAGCTTGGTTTTCCGTCGTCATGTATTGCGTTCGCCAGAGTCCTGTTCAAACAACGTCAATGAGGTGCGCCAGTATATATACCGGTTCACCCTTACGTTCAAATATACAAAGAGCAGCCGAACCTACATCTCGCAGGCAAGAAGCACAATGAAGCAAGAGATCCGTGATTGCAATGGATGTTTATCTTGGCGGACCTTAGTCATTATCCATCCGAACATGAATCTTCACTTAATCTATTCGTCCTGCAACTTACAACTATTCCGTCTAAATTTGCAACTCCCTCAAAATGGACGCAGTTGACTCTACGGTGTCGCTCTATTTCCTGTTCGGCGCTGGTATCTTAAGGAGGTTGGACCACCACAGCGGGCCTTTCTGATGCCCTTTGAACCCCCCAGAATAGCGCACGTCTTTCCCAGTCCGCTGCCACACCCCCCTGGAAAGTTCCAAGACGAGCGGCTCGCCGTGAACGTAGTGCAGTCTACAGTAATAGATGTCTTCCAACGACCGTATCGCGGCAGGGAGCTCATTTGCCAGCTCGAAGGGGATTGGTTCGTCGCGAACAGGAACCCCATAAAATGTCGTCGGAAGGACCCCTGCCAGGCTTGGTGCGAACCTAAACGTACCGACGATTATAGCGACATACCTGTCGTCATGCTCAGGTCTCCACCCAAGAATGCTCACCTCGTTAACACTATCTGCTGCGGTAGCCATCGATACGGTACTGAACTGAACACCGAAAGCCTTGGTGTCCCCATCTGCAGACGTGAGCCTGAATTGCTTCCACCGCTGCTTTTTTGTCGTGTCACTTTTCAAAGAGTAGACCAGCAGATTTGTTATGGACTTGATATAAAGGCACTCGTGGCTTATGGCCATGCAAACAGTATTCCCATACCAGCAGCCGTTGATCTTCATTGAAAACTCAATATGTTTTGGCAGGCGCATCTTACGCCACGTGTCGGTCTGGGTGTCGTAGAGGTTGCCCTGCGCATCAGCGTGTTGGGGGGATTTCGTCCCAAAGCCGTTGTTGTAGAAGTTATAGAGGGGCTTATGATATACGAAGATGTACCGCTCAGAAGCAACCACTGTGAGAGTCGTCTGATTCGTGTGCTCCTTCCCTTGAACGAAGCACTCTGCGTGGGGAGAGAGAGGCTCTGATTGCTCGTCAAATAGCAGAGCACTCCGCTCACGCCAGCCTCCGGCTGTTGCCAAGTTGTACGCACGCAACCGTAGTTTGGCCACCGTCAACCAGTTCACGTCTGTAACGCACTTTGACTCGCTGAGCACGTAGAGCGTGTCCTTCACGACCACCATGCTCTCAGGAATATCCTTCCAGTTCTCCGCATCTTCCGGACCGCCCCCGCTCCCATAGGCACCCCCCGTAAGCGGGTGCAGGTGAAGCTCTTCTCCGGCCTCATCAAGAATCGCCAAGCCAGGGTAAGATTTTTGTTGGTCACTGATCAGTCTGCATGCAAATCTGGTCAACCCGGCCTTGTGAAAGCGCCCTGGACTCCCTAGAAGACCTTCCTCCACGGCTGCTTTCCAAGCTTTGGAAACGCGCCTCAGCCGTTCAAGCTCCTCAAAGTCGAGCTCAAAGGTTGACATGAAGCCGCATATGTACAAATTGACGTCTGCAGGAAGCTGCTCAAACAAGGCCATAGCATCGCAATAGGCAGCGCTGTGGTCCTAATAGTAGTGGCGCGTTAGAACAGTTGGGACTTTAGGAGTTCGTTCGAAGGAAGGCAAAACTCTGTTTGCTTTGTTCAACTTGGTCTCCCAGAAAAAATGCACCAGCAACCTTCAGATAGAAAGACTCGTTGAAGATGATACGTACATGCAGGCGGCAGCTCTAGGCCCGCGCGGGTGGCGTGCGGCCGCGTCTCGCTTGAAGGGTTTAGGCTGAGGGGCGTCCGATCCGGTCCGGTCCGGGTCCGATCAGGGCGGCTGCTCCAGTGCTCCTTATAAATTTCATCGGACGGTTCAAAGATGGTCTTTCCGCAACGGCAGCTTGATTGCCAGAGTCCGCCAGCAATGCTCTTATCAGTTGGCATCGAGTCCGCCTTTGTCAGTAAGAATATCTCTTTGAAGGAATGTAGGTTAAAGAGGGCGTTGGCGGATGCATCCGCAGTGACGTCAAGAGCGACATACAGGCAAGAGTATCAGGTCGATTGTCGCCAAGAAATGACATCAGCCGGTGACCACGTGGTACCATCTAAGCGACCAAGTACCAGCATTCCCACTCTTAATGTCGCTGCGATTTTGTCGTATCGCCACGCCCTCTTTAAGTCGGCTGTAGCAGCAGCTACACCATACCTGATAACAGGGGCTGGGTTCTCAGACCCAAAAGGGCCTCAGAGTCTGCATTATAAGACTCTTACGTTCGGTAACGTCAAAAGGACGTCAAAGGCGTACCTGTGGCGACTCTTGAGGGCAGCAGGCCCTCAGGGGGATCTGTGCAGTAAGTGAGGCTCCATATGCAGCTCCACGAACCACAGTCGCTTGGCATGCTTTGCAAAACGAGTCCAGCTCTTAGTATCAAAGTCCGGTGCTCCTGTGTAGAAGCTTTGCAGCTGCCGCTGTCAATCGTGGCACAAAGAAGAACATCATAGTCAGCCGTTGCTATATCCAAACCTATCTTTTCAGCCCCCGCTCAGGCGCCATGGCTCGAGATGAAGTGCAGCGCTTCATTGGAGCAAGGGACTTGACTGTGCTCGAAGGTCGTCCTCTGGTGTTTGAGAAGAACTCTGCTTTCAAAAGCTACCTGTGCTGCAATGGGCAGATAGCAAATCTGGCTACTTGGTGCATCCCAGCTTGCTTCTGTCCGGTTGGCACATTCTGTCCAGGCCGGTTGTATGAGCACTTCAGCTTACAGGTACAGCTGCTTCTTGAGCTGATGGTTGTCATCTGTATGTGTGCATTGATTGTTCATGTGGAGCCCCCACGGAAAATGAATACCGCTTTAGCAATTGTTTCGTGATGGTTGTGAGATCAAGCTGAATTTGCAGTGCACGGACAACTGCTTTAGCTTCACAACGTGCTCCTATAAAATCTGGAGCAGGCAACGTGCACAGAGTACGCAAGACCAGGTTGTTGTGAATGTACAAAGAAAAGCTGAAATGAAAGCAGAGAAAAGAAGTTTGATTTTGCACTTCTTACGAAGTTTTTGAGCTCTATTGGATCGTAAATCAGGGTATTCGTGCTTTGACTTGCCATCTTCACTGGCACTCAGTCGGCGCGAATTTTGATTTATAACTCGAGCTCCCGGTCCGTATAGAAAAGCTGACAGCTCGTGGGTCGCTTCCATGCAGCTAGGTGCAGACTCCTTGAAGTACTCCACAGCTACCAATGACTGCTGCTGTCACATTGCCTACGAGCAGAAGACTGTGCCCTTGGACAAAATCCAGGATGTGGAGCTGCAAACAGATTGCCTGCTCAGCTGTTTCGACTTGAAAAAGGTATGCATAATCTCTGCTTTACTGAAGTGTCCACCTCAGTAGCTTCGATATACGAGACGGGATGGCATCAGGCATGTATATCTGGAACTGGCTGCCTGTCCAATTGCACATCCAATGAGCTTGTCAAAAGCTTCTGTGTTTGAAGCGACTTGATCAAAGTTCATAAGATTGCTCACGTATACAGACGGTCATGAAAGGATGGAAAGGTGCTGCGGTGTGGGCTGCATCTGAAAGTGAGAACATCCTTGCAACATCAGTACCTTGTAGTTGTTCATTGAAAGAGAAGCACGCCATCTAAGCTCTCTATCTGGTTCTCTGGCATTCCAAAGCAGAGGTCAATGGACTGAGGCAGCAAGAGACCAGGCTACAAAGAGGTCAGGCTCTCTTCAGCAAGCAAGGTTCCGTGTGACTGCCCCACAGGCTCGCCTCTGACGTTTACATCTCGATGCAGATCGCCGTCCAGACAGCAGGGCAGGGCGGCCCCGGCGCCGAGGTCCAGGCGGCTTTCCTGACTGCCCCAGAGGAGGTCCGTGACGCCATCCAGCTGGCAGTCAAGTGCCACCGCGAGGCACCCACTACCGCCCCCCAGCAGCAAGCCGGCATGCTCCGGGGGCCAGCCGCCGCCAAAAATATGCTGCAGCGGCTGCAGGGTTTGGATCAGCTGGTGAAGCGGGGAGTGCTGACGCATGAGGAAGCCGGACGGCTTCGGACGCCGGTGCTGGTGGCGGATTCGGACCCCACGCAGCGGCTAGTGGAGGTGGCGGAGCTGGCTGATACGCAGGTCATTTCGCGGGAGGAGTTCGGGGAAGTCAAAGCCGCGCTGCTGGCGCAGATCATGAGGGCTTAGGCCGTGTAGACGAGGGAAGAAAGATTTGATGTTCTTGGTTTGGAAACGATGGATAGGTTGTGGTTTTCTTGAGTCCGAGTGATGAAGCTGTCAAGCTCACGGACCTTGAAGGATGCTCCACTAGATTGAGTTTGGGCCAGATATTAATCTTGGCCAGGATCTTAGCACATCAAAATCGAGATACGGTGGTCCGAAGTGAGAAAACCATGCAGCCTCGTAGCTTATCATGTAGGATATATTAACGAGACAAATGTGCCAAACAGAATTTGAACGGCGTCCTCTATAGCTCTTCTATTTGAGATTTATGTGCGATGCGATGCGACTCGTGTCATTGATCGAAGGCCCGGTCCTGCCGCGCGCTGTGTTCAGCCAACCTAGATTCTGAACCGCTTGTCGTCACGGCGCAACTCAAAAGCACAGATAATGCATGCAACGCTGACACACTGCAGATTGCATCGCTTCCTGGAGTCCGTTAATTTGCGGAGCTGCAATGCCTACAGGCAGATTTGATACACTACCAACTTTAGTATGGCCGGGCCTCGCCCGATCATCAAGCTCGATCCGCATTGGGCAACGGGCTAACAACTTTTGATTACAATGATCCGTTACCATGGTTTTCTAGCCCGCCGAGGTGAACGGGTTCTACAGGGCTTTCAAGCGCGCGCTGACCACACTAGGAAAACAATAAGTGAACTTTGGCATGATGACGGATTCCCATTACTGGAAACGAGCCCCGCGGGGTGCCTTCTGGCAGGGAAAACTGTATCTTTCACTGCCAAAGAAAGAGGATACAAAAGCAGGCGCAGGAGTTCGACAACGACGTGATTAGATAGTCGTACAATATGAATGGACAGATCCTTTTTGGCACCACTGCTTGAGCAGTTGACGTCCGTCTTCTGCCGGCATTCTCCCGTCCCAGCTGTTGTAGTGCTGCCATTCATACGAAAAGAAGGACTATAAGCGACGTCACAGATACGAGCGCAAGATTAGTACTTGCGACCACGAGAAGGAAGTACACATGCAACACGTTGTACACAAGGACGAAGTCAATCTATGTCCCTGGGACCGACCTTGAGGGACCAAGAAAGAAAGTTCTTCCAGTCAGTCTTAGTTGGACGACTGCCCCTGGTTCAGATGTCATCCTGCTTCAGCACTAACCATATGAGGTCCTGATCATGCGCCGATTTGCCTGGAGCAAAGAATGAAAGCAATGCAAAGTAAGCATTCTCAGCTTGAACCAAATTAAGCGTTCTCAAATTGAGCCCAAGAAATATAAGCTCGTTAGCAAATGTGCTTGGTATGGCCCTCACAGGGCCCAAAGAAACGAGGGCGAACTTCACTTACGTCATGATGATGCAACGCAGGAGCTGCGGCATGATGTATTACTGTATTATAATGCAATAATGCACCGTCAATTCACCATGAGGCAATTTGACATGCATGGCGTCGAACACACGGCCTCTTGGTCTTGTTTGATGCAAGCAATACGTTGTTTCGACGTTCTCGCACCTCCCACGACATCCGCTGCTTCCCCAAACGGACGTTTGATTTCCGACATTGACTCGAGTCACATGAAGGGCCTAGTACAATCATGATACGGCGTTCTGTAAGGTATACCTATACAAAGCAGCGGCTAATTAACTGCACGGCGGCCATGCAGCGCAGCGCACGCGAGCTTGGCATGCAGTTGCAGTCCTCGCGCTAATAGGATTATCGGTATTTGGCCATAGCGTGTGTCCCGGCGATCACGGGCGCCATGATGCTAGCTAAAGCTAGTGGATAGGGACATACGAAATGCAACCCGGATGTCTATGTCAGCATGGGCGGTCAAAACTGCATGAGACCAGGCCGATTCCTAATTAGTCGGTCTGAGCTGTTGAGAGGAGATTCGCGCGCATGGTGGTTGCAACGTGCAAAGCGGAACCGTGACTTCGTGCAGCTGTACTATACTCAATTATGATGGCGTTACGTCTCAACAAATGAGCTCATGCAAAGTCAAGAAACCAAGACGCCATGAACAATGTTCCTTCCTCACAGGCTTCGAATGCAGTTGCAAAGCCATCATGCTTCGATCGAGCCTGCATATTTTCGTAAGCAGCAACCGACATACTTTCCTGGCGCAACATACCCTTGACCAATTTCGATGAGATAGGAGGGTAATTGCACCCATTCATGCAATTTGCGCTGAACATGACAACAGTTGTCCGCCAGAATTAGGACCCCAACAGTAGGACCTTTGCGTTTACAGTCCGTGCTTATGAAAGGAATAAGGCACCAGGCAGTTCGGATTCCGACATTGTGTATACAGGCTATGGCACAGTCCAAGCAAGCCGACGCAGACAACGTCTGACAAACACCTGGGACTGCTGCCAAAACATAGTCAAGACTCTCAAAGGAGCTGCGCTTGAGACAAAGTTCCCGTACCAGCAGTTCCCATAAATATGCTTGCTCTACTTAGTCGGGTGACAAAGGGAGACCTGCCTGTCCTACGAGTTTATCTATGCCAAAACGGAAGAGGCCAGGATCTCGAAAGGATCCTACAAATTCTGTACGACCCCTTCAGAATTTTTTATTCCAACTACTGTTCCAGCCAATTGCCACAGGAGAGTATGACATCTACCTAGAGAGACCTATGCAATGTCCGTCTGTACTAAACAAGGCTTGATTTTGGCGTTCGCCTGGCAGTAGTCATTTGCAGGAGAACCTTATTGCTTCTCGACCTTCGAGACTGGTGAAATCGTTCCAAAAGAAAGTCGAAATGTGCCGCTCGTGTTGATAGAATAGTTGCCCCCGTAAGGAGGCCTGCAAGCAACAAACTGAAAACGTTAGGGATGGAAGGTCGGGCCAACAACAAAAGGCTCGCTAAAAACAAATGTGTATCATCGAAAATGCAAAGATCGGCAGTTCTTGAAAGCAATAGCACAAGAACCAACCATTATCAGACCATAAGTGCAACGGGTTGAGATCCACGTGATGCTGCACGCAAGAACAACTCAGGACTTGGCAAGCATGGTGCACCCCTGTCGTTATCAATCTGCAACTTCAACTCCATGCTTCTTTAACTTGTGTACTTATAAACAAGCCGGATGGTGAAGCAGGCCTCAAAAGGGTGTCAAAAACGACCAGAGATGCAGCTTACGTGTCCCAGTCGCCAGCCCCGTTAGTGACCACGAATTGGAGTGACGAGGCCGGTACGCGAATGACCTGTAAAAGAGATGGCACTAAGAGCACTAAACATACAGAAACCAATTTCTGCCGCTCTTGAACGTCAAGGACCGGCTGAATATTACTTGGTGCAAGCAGAAGGTAAAACCATGCACGTTTCTCTAGCTCGCAGATCCGTCCTACGAGGCCCGGCTTTCATTTGAAAGGACCTTCTTCGACGGTACCCTCTTTAGCCATCGAAAAATCTGTTGAGATCGCCCGGCTCGAAGCACCAAGCCCATCATGACCAGAGTTCGCGAACTAAAGGAATGAATGTACGAGCTCGGCTTTGCGGAGACGGAGCTCGCCGTGGTTTCCTCCGCTCATCTTTTCAGTCATTGCGGATGCAAATGTTCTGTCCTTTGAAGTCATGCAACCACTCAACAAGGAAAATTCCTTTCGGATTGATCCGATGACCAACATCGATGGCACAACGGAGCAGGAGTCCCCCACCTTGCTGTCCTGTTCGGCGTCAAAGCCAAACTGCACCCCGGGCAGTTCCGTCCAACTCCCGCCATCGGCCGCGAAGTGCAGGAAGGCCTTGTCCCAGCCGCTGTCGTACAGGAGCGTGATGACCCCGGCCTCAGGCGCCGTTTCCTCCGTGCCCGGAGCGAGGGCCTGGTTGATCGCGCGCTCCGCTTCCTGTATGGAGAGAGACGATGTGGATCCACAGAGCTGCTTTTATATGACTTCCGGGGGCCATCGGTGAAAGATCAAGGAAGTAAAAGAACACGTCGGCCCTTGAGACAAGGTCTAGGCCCTACTTAAGGACAGAGACAAGAAGAGCAAGACGCTTGAGCTGAAATACTTGACACCTGAAAGTCGCACCTCGTTCCTCGAACAACATCACACTGCGCATTGCCAACCGACTATCCCATCATGGACAAACGCGAGAACTCGCAACATCTCACATCGTTGTCGTATCGTGCATCAGTGAAAGGCAAACGAGAAAAGGAGATACAAACCATGCGCACAAACTGCGCGGATGCGAACACAAACGATGATTCAAAGGTACATCGGAATCAAATACCCACCGTAACTTTGGTCTGGTCCTCTTCGGCAGTGCCCTCCTCTTCCTGTTCTTCACCCCTCTCTTCTCCCTCGGTCGCTTCCATCTCTGTTCCTTCCGGTACTTCCTCATCCGTTTCTTCTGGCGCCCTCTCAGTCTCCGTCTCGTCTGCCCCCTCCGTCTCTTCATTGACTGTCTCTGCGGCACCAGTGACCGGCTCCGCCGCCTCCCTAACCGACTCCTGTGCAGCCTCTGCGGGGCCGCTAACCGCCTCACTAACCACGTCCTTGGCCCCACTAACCACATCCCCAGCTTCCTTCGCTTTCTCCTCAACCTCCTCTTTGACTGTGTCTGCAGAGTCTTTGACTGCCTCGCTGGCCGCCTCTGCAGTCCCACTAACCACCTCACTAACCGGCTTGCTAACCTCCTCGGTTTCCTCATCTGCTATTCGTCCAAACACAGACGTGTCAGAGCTCGAGGCGTCCTCTTCAGCCGAGTCGTCCTCCCCTTCAGCGGTGTCAAACTTCTCGGCTGCAGAGGCAGCCAACTCCTGTGCGCCTGACTTAACACCATGTGCCGCCGACTTGACTCCCTCTACGGCCTCGCTGGTAGCCTCCTTCACTCCTTCCAAACCCTCTCCGGCCGCTTCTTTGACGGACTCGAGAACAGCCTCGGGACTCTCTGCACCAGGCTGCTCAACCTTAACTTCCTCCTTAACCTCGTCCTCGACCTCGTGCTTCACCCCCTCCTCGCTAACCTCATCCTCGACAGCCTTCTCAGCCTTGACTTCGTCCTTAACCTCACCCTTAACCTCCTCCCTACCCTCCTCTTCAGCATTCTCCTCCGACAGCGCTTCCTCTGCCGCCTCGTTCATTTCCTCGAGCCCTTCGGCAACAGCGCTCACTTCTTCAATCTTCTCAGGAACTTCCTCAGCCCTTGCCTCCAGATCCTCGCTCTCCGCATCCTCTGCCTCAGGCCCTTCAGCGGCAGCACTAGGCACCTCTGCACAGTCCTCGATGTTTGCATCTGGAATAGCCGCTTCAGCCGCCTCTAGTTCCTTCTTGACTTCCGCGCTTACAGTTGGCTCCTCTGGGATGCTCTCAGCTTTCACCTCCGAGACTGGCTCCGTCAAAGTGCTCTCCGCCGCAACTGGCTCCTCTCGGATGCTCTCCTCATTCTCATCTGGAATTGGCTCCTCAGCAGCGCTCTCAGTCTTCTCTTCTGCCACTGGAGCAGCCTCGTCTTCCCCCTCGGAAACCTGTGCTTCTGCCTGCTCCTCACTTTCTCGGCTGCTCTTCGTTGCATCTTCGGCAGCATCCTGGACTTCTGACTTCGTGCTCCCTGCCTCTGCAACCACTCCAACAATCTCTTCTTCCTCATTTACAAAGTCAGGGACATTTGCATCCGGAATCACCTCCTCCGTCGCCTCTGGAAGCAACTCCGCGTCTGCTTCTGAGCTGGCTGCAGCTTTGTCCGCTGCTTCAGAAGGAATCTGGACAGGACTTGCCGCTGCGGCCTCAGCCTCGGCAGTCGCCTCGGTCTTGGGGACGAGGGTAGTGCTCAGTCCCTGAAGAAGACGAAGAACAATATGAGCACAGAGACGTTTGCAAAAAGAAAGAATTAAGCATGCTTTAAAAAAGCTGAGCATGATACTAAACAATCAACCATACCTCACTGCTGCTTACAACACAGTTCATGCCATGCGATTGGAAACCTCAGCATCATAGCCTGCGCCTGCATGCAAACTCACTAAAATCTCAATCTTCCATTCCGAGGGCCCTTCCAGCCCTGTTTCAGAAGGCCCAACGGTGGACGGGTGAAACCCTCACCGACCACTCCCTCAAAAGCTCTTGCGGTGCCACCTTTGTATCCAGGAAGTTCTGGACTTGCTTGATGGTCTCTTTCCGATCCTTGGCAAACAGCAGCTTCTTCACAAATACTTGAACCGCGGCTGCAGACCCCAGCAGCTGTAGCGCTGTCTCTGCCTGCAGAGTGAAAGGTTGTTGGCTTCCTTGCTTTGACGAAAAAGTCCATGTCTGCAGAGCAATGGTCTGTTGATCCTTGGCTGGCTGCAAGGTATGTCCCAAAATTATAAGGCATGTTCATTTTCAAGAAGTCAGCAGCGACAGTTCGAATCGGACAGACTTCCCACATGCATATTCCAGAAAAAGGTTTCATATGAAGGCCACCCTTGCGTCCAGATAATGTCGGTGCAGCTCTGAAAACTCAGCATCCAAATCCAATTGTAACCCCAGGGCGGCATTTTAACAAAGGGAGAGCGTTAGCGCAAGGTAATCTTACTGGGGGCAAAACGAAAGCATGATGATACTGGATAGAATTAATTCCCGAGTGTGATGAGAACATCTTGCACTCAAGACTTGACGTATTGCAAGTGCAGGAGAACTGACCTCTGTGAAGAGGATGAGCGATACACCAGCAGCGGCTGCGACTCCAAGTGTGGCTGGCAACACCTGCTTGTTGTCCTGCAATTCCTGCAGATCAGAGGCGAGGTCCTTGAAGGAAGGCTCCGTAACATCACCAACCCCCCAGCCTCTGACCTTTAAGCCCCTCGCTGGAACAGCAACCTTCAAACCTTTGCATATACTTTGTGTGGAGATGCAGGTAGAAATCCAACCAGATCCTACAGACGATCTAAACACGGACTAGAGCATGGGGGAGGTGCTTGAAGCGGACTTCCATAGGGTGACTGGTAAATAAGCGGCCTAATTCTTCACAATCCTTTACAACAATCTGGTAAAGCAAGACAGCTATGATGAATGGAGCCTAAAGACAAACTATCTAGGTAGCTGTACCAAGCAGACTGTACAAAGAGAACATCAGCAAGGCCGATGGAACCACAGTAACTTGTCAACGTTTGTTCTTGAAAAGGAGAACAAACCAGAGGACAGGGTTGTATTGTCTTCAGAAGGAGTGGATGTTGCCAGACAATCCTACAACAGCGTTTACAATGCCCTGTAGGGGCGACATTGTACACAGCGAATCGCACAATGTGTGCAGCAAGCAGCGTCTTCAGTCGGCTTCCTTCAATCACCTTGAGAGGCCTCCTAAACTGCGCGCTAATTTCACCACGACCATACCTTATGCACCGGGCATCTGCTATGGTTACTACTTGACACATGTTGCGTCGCTACGACTACAGCCTCAGTGGCATCCTCCCTCTACTCTATGGTGTGTTCCTATCTGTGTCTAGTGAGCTTGGGACCACCCTTGTCAGCAGACGGCTTCTCAAGAATCAGTCTGCAAGCAATTGGACTTGTGTAAGTAGTCGGAGCTTTTCTGAAGTAACTTAAATGACTTCGGCATTCTATTTTGCGACCAGTGGTTGGGGATTTTCCAACCCCTGACCACTCTGGTGGGGCTCGAGGGCTTGCAAACATTGAAAGACAGCAACAGGAAGTTGTTTGAACGCGACTCTCTTAAGAAGCGGACGCTTCAGAATAAGGGACAAGGAACCAGCTTTACTCCAGAAAGAGGGGGTGAAAATGCAGAATACGCACCTGAATCGTGCTTGTGACAGCGTCCTTGATCTCGCCCAGATCTAGAGTGAACGTCTGTGGGGTTCTCCAAGGAAGCTGGCTCTCCTGAAGGCAGCAATGTTAAAAGTCTATGAATAAAAGTGCGGGGCAAACTTTCGACGAGCACGCGAAAACTCTGCAAATAACAAGGCACCTGCAGACTTCTTCCAATTCAAGGGTCGACCTGGCACAAGAAGCAACTGCATTTACGGCTCAAATGGTCAGCATTGTGCAATTTCAACCTTTATTTCTCTGTCCTGTAACAGACCGCACCACGCAGGAGGTGCCTGGCTTCAGAAGATGTTGCGAAGGTGCTGACTGGTGACACAGAGATAAATCAGTGGTTTGGTTGAAGAGCATTGCTGGAACCACCAAAGAGAAGGCAAAAAAACGGCTATCTCAAATGGAGTAGCCGGAAGACGGCTATCTCAACTTGAGTAGCCCGAGGACGTGCCAAGGGTTTTGGAACAAAATGTCCCGAGCTCCTCTTAAAACTCACCCTCCACCCTTGCGGCCCTTGCGCTCCTCCGTTCACGACAAACACGCGGCTGTAGCCTTCCTTAGAGAGGATCTTTGCTGCCTGGGCGGCTGACGAGCCCGCGCTGCAGGAACAATTGTAACATTAGCAAGAGAAAACTTTGGAGATATGCAAAAAAGCTATTGCACCAAGTTCGGCGTATTGACCTTTTCTTAAAACCTCAAAAGGTCAAGGACTCAACCACAATCAGCTGATCGAGAAATCTATGCGAATAGCTTCAAGCCTGCAAAGAAAACAGACTATGCATCATCTGAAAAACAAGAGGGCGCTTTGAGGAGAAAGAATGCCGCTAAGGATGCGTAATGCCATGGTTTGATTGCCTGCTGCCATGAAGCCAAAGAACTAAATTACACCATTACCAAGAGCAGATAAAGGCACCGTAAAAGGTCTTGTGGGCTTCTTGAGTAGCATGTTTTCACGTTTGAAGCACTTCACTGTAGCAGTTCACTACCCTGAACCCGTAAGCTCACTCAACATTAGGATTTCAGCGGAACCAGAGCAAATGTGCTTTACAAACCCTGTCAATGCTGCAGTTCAGTGGCTGCATTCCAAAATAGATATCGGCAGATACCAAAAGCCGCCAACAGCAAACCAGCACCCACATTCCGATTTACCTGTCCAGAAGCACAATAAGGGCGCCCTGGTCCAACGCCCTGCCCTTTACCGCTGTCCGCAGCTCTTCCTCAGCCCCCAGTCCCGCATCAGACTCCATAGCAACCGACAACACCTTCCGACCAAGCTTCGGGCTCCCCTCCTTAGCATTCTCATCCTTGCTCCTGATATCTACGAGGACCGCTCCGTCCTCTTTATTCAACCTCGCAAAGGCCTCGCTGGCACTCAAGTTCCCAGCATACCCCTTATTCATGCTCAAAAACAGAAGGATAGGGATGGAAACTGCCGCAACCCCTACGGCGACATACAGTGGGTTTGCGCTGAGGGCATTCCCAATGTCCCCCGCTTGGGCCTTCCACTCGTCTAAAGACTTGTACCCGTCGATGAGCTCCTGGTCCCAGTAGTCCAGGGCCCACTTCACATCGGGGTTGTCCGCCCGCAGTTTGCTTAACCACGTCCCCGACTGGATGTCTGCCAGCTGCGCGCCCCAGTCGTCCAGAGACTTGTAACCGTCCTCCAACTCCTTATCCCAGTAATCGAACGCCCACTTGATGGTGGGGTTGCCCTGTCTCAGGTTTGCAAGCTGTGCCTTCCATTCATCAAGGGACTTGTACCCGTCCTCCAGCTCCATATCCCAGTAATCGAGGGCCCACTTCACATCTTTGTTGTTTTCCCTCAAGTCTCCGAGGAATGTACCCAAGGGCAGCGTGGGGATCGCCTGTAAACTCTCAAAACCCTTAAAACCTGCGGCGGAGCACCTCACGCCAGCCCGCCTCCTGGTCGACTTCCACGAACCCAACCCTTCAGAGGCGCCCAAGCCTACGACCGAATCGTGAGGAACTATCCTCTGCGCAGAACATGGCAGTTGCTGGGCTTCTGTAATTCTCCCCCTTGAAAAGGAGGAAGGTACAGCTAGCCCAGAGACCAGCCGCTGAGCACTGGCGGCCGCCATGGCTTCCCAAGTTGTCGAAGAGAATGTGTGCAAGGTAGCTGTGAATGCTGTTTAATGTCCTTCAGCATCTGATTCTGGGGCCGGCTGAAGTACCCACTTTGCGGACTTCTTGTCCGCCAATTCCGGTACAATTGATTGCCAGATTTTGCTGCTTGCTGGCATAGGCCGTAGGTATATGTTGTCCGAAAGCGCCTTCGGACGCTTTGCTGGACACTATGTAGCGCCAGCCTCCAGGGTACTAGTATCACGAGCAGCCTTTGAGCTTACCGGTATATGCAAAGTTTCCCCTGAAATCGAAGTTCTTTGCCTTTCTCCCCAGCTTCAATCCCTGGTACAGTCCTTCCCTGGACACCATAACACGCAGCGTGCCTCCTGGTTTGTAACTTGTAGCTGCTCTTGTAAATGCTCACACTGCAACCTTGGCCAATCCGCTTGACAACTCCCTGTCTCCTGAGCTTAGCTTTGGTTTCTTGTAGCAGTGGGAGTTCACAAGGAGTTTTGGGAAGCTAGCAATCCTGTTGCACGACACCAGGTCGGATGACGGTCAAGGACGTGCTGAGATGGCGGCTGCCACTCCTGCTGGCAGTCACGCTGGGGCAGTGTTTGACTGTGAAAGCCCTCGAGAAGGACAGTTTCATGAAGATGGTGAGGGCCAACCTTGTTGCTTTAATTGTCAAAGCCTCTTGCCTCTGATTGTCTGATGAGTGTGGCGAATGCAGTATTGTGAAGATAACATGGAATATAAAGAAATTGTCACCACGCCAGCGAAGCTGGTTGTCTGAGGGGCTTGTTGACGGGCGACACATCTGGCAACAGGCTCTCTCTCCTTGCAATAGTCGGGCAATCCCATGGTTGTAAGTAAAGAACAGCTGCGTTTGCCCCCTTCCTTCAATCCTTATGAAAGGTCAGACCTACTAAACATACCTTATGGGCCCCTGAGTTTCTGACATTTATTGCACTTGTGGCCAGCTTTTCTGGTCGAAGTCTTTGAAATTCTGAAAGACAAGAAGGCCCATCCCCTGATATTCTCAGAGGAACATCGCCAATCCACATTTACAAGTTGATTGGGAGAGTTTTCAGGTTGAAGGTGTTGTCCTGGTCCTGTCAAGCTGCTTTTGTCAGGGGCCCGGTGTGTGCAATAAGGATGGCGATGAAATCATTGAGGTCATGGACCTAGAATAAGCCTGCCTTTGAGAAGCTTTCCAGCACACCTCTGAAAGGCAGTCATCCCGTTCTCGCAGTCCAAGTTGGAAACCCCCGTGCGAAACATTAAGTGGATAGGACTCAGCGATCAGGTGAGCGTTTGATATCCCACGTCTTTCCCCCTCTTTTTTCTCCCCTCAATTTGTTGCCCTCTTGCATCAATGAGGGGTAAGCTTCACCTTCTCAAAAGACTGCACCAGCTTCAACAAGTGTGAATGGCATGTTTGGAACATCAGGACCCTTCGCTGTGTGAAACGCTGCATCAACTCGCTTGCTGGAATTAAAATCGGTATTTTTTGTTGAAAGCGGGGACATTTGTTGAAGAGAAGTAGATTTTTTATGTGTTGTCTTATCAACAGTGAATGATAGTCACGAAACACTTGGTGCTTCTGCAACCAGGCCAAGGACTGGTTTTACAGCAGTGGGTGACGAGGTTTATGAATCAATGCAGAAATGCCCGGCAGTGCAATTTGTTTTGCTTCAAGTATATATAAGTTCACCTTCTCACGCCCAGTAATAAGGTGACCTACTAAAAGATTGTTCGTCTCTTCTTCTCCAGATTGTGTTTGCACTTACCGTGACAAACCACCTGTGGCGGAGCGAGGATGGGGGCATCTCTTGGGTGGACCAAACGGCCACAGACAAGGTGAAGCCTCCTACTTGCTTCTGCTTTCAGTAATTTCGCCAAGATCACTAGTAATCAATCACAGCTTGCACACTCCTGAACTCCAGGTTCCTGCACTGTACTCGATTGGGGTCTCTCGTCACAAGCCCTCCAGGATATAAAGCTACCTAGAAATGACCAGGACTACCGAGGATTGATTTAGTTGATTCCGACCCCCCACAGACCAGGACGAGACTCTGTTTTCGTACCTGAATGATTGACCGTTTGCTCTTGCAGTTGCTCAAGGTAATGGACGAAACACGCATCGGGTAAGTCACAAACTTGCACCATGTATGTTGGTCAGTTGGTCCTTGAACTTGAAGCAAATCTTGCCAAGGTGATGGAAATGTTAATGTGGTGCGCAGTCGCCTCAAACGGAAGTTCTGGCGGGAGGGACTCTTGCGGCGTCATCAGCCAGCCATCCACTGCTTTTTCACAATTGCATCTTTTCACCGCTCTTGCAGCAACCTTTCACCCGTGTCCGGAGTTGCCGACATCCTTTTCTCCTGGGATGCCCCTGAGAAGGTGAGCGGCACCACTTGGAAGTCCGAAATGCAGACACCAAGAAATTCAAAGAAATCCTGCTTTTTCAACTGCGATCGTTCTTCCCCAAACGTGTAGATCTTGAACTTGATCTACCCACTTTCCAGGATTCAGCCTGTGGCTCTCGTTTCAAAATCTTTCAAGTTCGAAGGTTTTTGTATCTCCACGCAGATCTTCTTCCGGGGCTTTGGCAACTTCCACTGGATAACGTCCGACTTTGGTCGCATGTACGAACGGGTGCTGGGGCCAATCGGACAGACCGGAATGGTCACATGGCGGCAGCACCCGACTGAAACGGAGTGGGTGCGTGCAACATTTCTTTGCAATGTCTGGTTTTCCTGTTTTCCGGAACCGTCGTCTGACGGGTCGGTCCCATTTTGATTGGACAAAATACTCTCCTTCACTCCTCTGTTTACAAAAAGCTCTGCGGATACTTCATTGATTATGTTTCTCTCTCTCCGTGATATCATGGCAGTTCCGGTTTCCCATCCGTCTTGAGTGCTTTGAATCTGGTCCTTCCATGCACTTCAAATCTGTATCCCCTCTCTCTTAATCCCACTTGCTGTCATAGAGGCAGGAAGTAATTAAGGAAGTGGTCTTGTCAAGATGACAAATGCTTGATTATAACCGAGGCAGTTCCATGCACAGACATAAGCTAGCAAGATCTTGAATACAATACACAGACCTTGGTCAAATGTGTGTTACAGCGCTTGGATCCTGTTGCACAGGCGATACTGAGTGATAGGAAAACAAGACGAGGTACGCTGATGGGAATCTTGAAAGAAGAAGTTTTGTTTCTGCAGCTTCTGGTTATTGCTGTCAGATGGAGCTGTTGGGGCGCATCAGGGCCGCCCTGCGGAAATGACGTGAGTCACACTATATCAACTGTAGGATTGCGTAGGATCAAGTTCTACTTGAAAACACTCTAACTGACATGTTCAAAATTATGGCGGAGATGCGAACAAGTCTCGTCAAAGCAAACGCCGGAGGCTTGTTTGAGTTCAATGAGCGTCTGCTTATCTTCTTTGCCACAGCTGGTAAAGTCGGATCCAAATGTCAATCGCTAGATGCATTCCATCGATTGTGTCAGCACATTGATGTCGCTATTGGACGAATCAACATAGGGCGGGCTTCGCTGATCTCTCTAACCTTGGTGTTCTTCTTTTTCCAACCATCCTCGAAAGTGAAGCGTGTACGCGCTTGCCTTTTCACCGCGCTAAGACAGCATTTCGTGTGCAGCTTTTCGTGACCAAGGACTTCGGACGCACCTGGACCAACCTCACGGACGCTGCCCAGGTAAGGCCGTCCGGACTCTCCGAATGCGTCTTTCCCCGCCTGCAATTGCGTCGGGGTGTGTTCCAGGAAAAGGCGTGCCTCGCCCGAGCGCTTCCCTCTTCATATTTCACGCCATTGTCGAAGAATACTGGATAAACGTTGCTTAAGTTTCCCGTCGCAAGGACATGCCGGGTCGCCTCGCAGTCTAAACAGCCTTGCATTGCGCTCCCTGCGGGATACGAAGACGAGTTCACGTCTTTCAAACACACACCATTTTACCAGTGGCGTGGCGGAATTTTTAGTCCTTTTGGAGCTTCGTCCGACCTGGATGTGGGGAACCCTATCCTCCGACCTTATTCTCCGACCCTACTCTCCGTCCTTATCAAGCCCTTCGCCTATCTCGATACGATGTACTCTCATACTCGAGTGGGGATAGGTAACCCAACTTATTCAAGACCAGTATTCCTGTCCGGCCGCAGGATCGGATCCTGACCTTCGTCGACTTCGACTGGGGCTGGAGCAAGGTCGGGCCGCACCCACCGGGTTACACGAAAGAAACCATCATTGCGAGCGTGTACCAGAATACTGCTGACGTCAGGAACCACCTGGCGGGGCGCGGGAGCAACGGGTGGGACCCCTTCACGGACTTCGTCCGCAGCGACGATCTCTTTCGGACGCACCGGACCGTCGTGCGCTGCGGCGCGCAGTTCGAGGTGGCCAATGGGCTGCTCTTCTTGGTGAGCGCGTTTTGTATGGCTGCGATTGATTTTTTTGGCGAAGTAAGTTTGGTACTTTTTGATAAGCGTGGAACGCATTTCGAAGTGGGCCAATGAGCTACTCTTCCCTGGTGAGCTTGGAGTCTCTGTACAGGTGCGTAAGACCATTGTTGAGTTGTTTTCTGCATTCGCTGTTATGCAAGGTTGCTCAATCTGGACCGACGAAGAGTTGAGGGTGCCAACGTCGAATGGTAAACGTCTCGGTCGTTCCTTCAATTCCCCTTGCTTGCTTGTATGATTGCGTGTTTGATTGACTGTTGGAGCGATGGATGCTTAAGCTCTGACCTATTTCTTACTATTGAGAGGCTCCTTCTAGGTCCTTCGAAACCTGTTTGAAACCCAGCTCCGCTTGTGCTTCGGACATCAGCCTCGCTCCCGCCGCTTATCCTCCGGTATGCGTTTCTGACGATCCCCTTACTCCGAAACATCGAACCTTACATCTTTTTAACACCGGCTGTCGTCGTGCTTGACCAGGGCTCGTTGTCACTGAAATCAGTATTCCAATGTTTTTGCCTTGGAACATCTCCAATTTCTTCAGAGTCTCTTTGCAGGCCGTAGCTGCACATTGTCGGCAGACTGGCCAGGCTGAGCCGCCCCCAAATAACGGCGTCAACCTTTTCACCAGCAGCGACTATGGCGCAACGTTCACCGAGTCATGCTTCCCAGGTGCGTACGTCACGCTTGCTTACTGTTCGTAGACAAAATCAGCTCCAGCTTAGAGAATGGTCTCGCATATGTGAACGCTGGAAGGTTGCATCCCACGAACTGACGTTGCTTTCCGATGCAGTCCTTTTCTACTGATCACTCCACACTCCGTGACACGGACTCCTTTTCCTGATGCTTTTTAACCTGGTCAATTGCCCCTGCCGGGCAGTCAGCGTCTCAACCAGACAGGATATTGCAGAGCTCAGGGGGCGACTGTGGAGCATCCTCCGCGTTTATTAGATCACTTATTGCTTCTTGTTCTTATTTTTCGCTGACACCCAGAGGACTCCTTTGCTCATTCTTCGTTGTCATCTCGTAATTGCTGCTCCTCACCCGCTTCTCCCCTGCTCTCCGCCCACTCACTTTCGTCCTCCGTTCTGCTCCTTCTCCTTCACAGACTTGCACCGCAATGAACCGCTAAGCCGGCCCTGCTAACCCTCTTTCGTCTCCCTCCCAAACTCTCTGGGCGACCAGGACTGCAGCGCATCAAAGCCAACAACGAAAAAGTGCTCTTCTTTCCCTTTCTGATCCGCTAGCCATTCTGCTAAACCTTCTGTCCTCTCCCTCACAGTTTCGCAACATTGAAACTCGATAACGCTGAAATGTCAAACCCCCACTCTTCGTTTCCTTTCTATCCGGTAACTTCCTCTGCTAACCCGCTTTTTTCTTCCCCCCAGACTCGCTGGGCGAGCAGGGTTACAGCGTGGTCGAAGCAAACAACGACACCGTTTTCGTCAACGCCGCGTACTCGCAGCAGGGCCGCACGGGCCTGTACGGCAACCTGTACAGTTCGGACGCCCGCTTTACGCTGTACGGACTCAGCCTCAAGGACAACCACCGGACGGCGTCCGCAGCGGTTGACTTCATGCGCGTGCAGGGTTTGCCGGGTGGGTATCACATTCTGGTCGGACGTTAAACTTGTTTGAATTGCCATTTTCTGGATGTCAGAAAACCTCGTGGTGACGTCATTGAGACGTCGGACGGCTCATCGGCTTTGTAAGGATGGAGGTCCACGTCAGAGTTGTTTGAATTGCGATTTTTGGATGTCAGCAAAGTGCGTGGTGACGTCATTGAGTTTGCGCATGGCTCATCAGCAGTGTAACGATGTAAGTTCTCACCAGGATGAGGAGTTCAACTTTGAAGCTTCTGAACTTGTGAAACGCCCTGCAGCGAAGTGTGATAGATGCATTTCTGGTTGCACATCTTATTGCGATACAGAAAATACTGATTTCCTGTTGTGTTCTTCGAAAAGTTGAAAGGTGGCCCTCTTTCGCACAGGCACATACGTGGTCAATCAGGTTGACTCCGGCAATGGGGGTCGCCTGCCTCCGGGCGCGCCCCATAAGGGCGACTCAAGCGCCCCCAACCTGGTGACGAAAATAAGCTTCAACGGGGGTTCCAGCTGGAGCCTACTGACCCCCCCGAATGAGGTGGGTTTGTGGTTTTATCAACCTGGGCTGGTTGGCTGGTATGGGCTTGGTTTGAGAATGGCGCTTCGTGCAATGGCCGGTGTTCAACTCTCAAATAATATCCCCTTTGGCACGGTATGGTCGGGTCTTTTCTCGAGGACAGACCTTTGTACAATGACTGCTTTTGCGCAGGACAGAAGCGAAACCCCAGGGAGTTCAGCTTCTTCCGACGTTTGATCGATGATTACTCGAACCTTGCGCTCCTCCGTTTACTTGTACAGAAACGTGGTTATCAGGTTCCTTACTGCACATTCGCTCAAACCTGGCCGCCTGACCCGTTTTCGATTGGAACCGATCGCAGAATCTGGTCGAATTTGCAGAACGTGGGCCGGTCGATGGTAGCATTCCGGTGATCGAAGGGTTCAAGTTCTACGCATCGGGCAAAGTTCTGCGATCGGCTCAAATCAGACTCGGGTCTGGCGGCCAGGTTTGACCGAATGTGCAATATCCAGCACGGGAATTTGAGCACGAAGTGCACAAACTGATCGCGACCACGGCGGATTTCTGAAGTACGAAAGTTTGCGGTAACATCAGGTGTGGCTCCATGGGGAAGTTTCCATCAACCCCTGACCCGGTTCTCCACAAACGTAGGCTCCAGACTGAAGAGCTAACACAACCCAAAACGCATTAAGGTGTGAATAGGACCTTTCCTTCCTGCAGGACTCCAGTGGTGTGCCCATTGTGTGCCCCGGTTGTACGCTCCACTTGCACGGCGCGAGCTCCTGGCAGGGCAGCGGCAACATGCCGGGCTTCGCGTTCGTGTATTCACACCCGTCCGCGCCCGGCGTGCTCATGGGAACCGGGAACGTCGGCCAGTATTTGTACCAGGTCAGGGGGCTTCTTCTCGATTCCCAGACATCTCGTGTGCTTTGCCGTCGACTTCAACATTGTCTGCACTGCCTATGGGTGGGGAAGAGAAATTGTGTGCCAGCCAAACCAAGAATCCCCACCTACAGGCAGTGCCCCATCAGCAGCCCACACAGAGCCTGCTCATACAGCGGACGGGACAGATTATGGCTCGCACACTGAAAACCAGCTCGTAAAACTCCTTTTGTTTGTCTCAATGTCTCATGTGCTTTGAATTATATCTCGTCTGCGTCGTTATCGTCTGCTTGATTTCGATGGTGCTAAAGACTGCGAGAGAACGAGGCGGGAAAGCTTCCGAGGGCGACTGTCGCCTCGTTGGAATTGACGGAAAGGGGCCGGTAGATTTCACCAGGCCGAAGGTCGTTCTTCAATTCAGCGGAAGAAGTTCTTGAGACTCGTTAACACTTCGTAGTGGTACGGAGTTCCTGTGCCCCCGTTTCGAATCTATTATTATACCCCACTTGAGTCAGATTTGTTCACAGTAAGACACCCTAGGCAGGGGTTTCCCAAGGATCAAACGGACAAAACGGACTCGAAGTTTCAATAATAACTTTTGAGCTTCTCATTGCTGTACTCAAACAAAGAATGGGACGCTTTGCTATCCTTTTCAAGTACGTCTTCTCCAATCTGAGAGCATGGAATGCAAAAGCCGCTCAAAAAGAGTGAGCCGCTTCCAACCTTTGAATGACGCTTTTGCAGAACGGGGAGGTGAACACGTACGTGTCGGGGGATGCGGGGCGCACGTGGATTGAGGTTGCGCGGGGTGCCCACATCTACGAGTACGGCGACTATGGCGGGATCATTGTAATGACCAAGCACTATCTCAACGGGCCCACTAACGAGGTCATGTGAGTCAGGCCGCAAAACTTACATTTCGGCGCGGCTGTTCGATGACAATACATCCCTCTTTTTCGCTGCGGGCAGTGGGACTTGTATTCTGACTGGGCCTGACAGGTCACCGGCGTTTTAAAATGCCGGACCTTTTCAACAAGAAGAATTTTGTGGTAAGCGTCAGCTCCTGCAGATCTTGTGAGCAGTCAAAGTCTGTCCAACCATCGACAGGATCCACCACGTTCTAACAGTTCTAGAGGACCATGATTCCATTCCAGTCTCGTCGCGCAGAAGCCTGTTTCATTTCCGGTCTTTCGTGACTTCAGGTCCTCTGCCAGGGTTCTCAAGCAAGGCAGGCACACCCTCAGAACTACGTTATGCAGACAAGTTTCCACTGGGTTATATAAGTCTATAAGAAATACATCCCTCTCTCTTCAGAACACCATTACTAGGTCGAATGCAAATGCCAGTTGTTTGCGCAATCTGCATCAGGGCTCTCGTCCCCATTTCGGCCGAGCTGGTCTCCCCAGTTTTACTCCTAGTTCCAAAGGCATGCTGCTGCTTCTTACGAGCTATCTGGAACCCAGCAGTTTCATCTGACATGAAGTCCCCGGGTGGTCTTCCCCAGGAACTCAGTTGACGAGGGATTAGGCACCCACTTGCGGACTCCCTGAATGCACGCTTGAACTCCCGTACTCCGCCGAGCAAGCGCTTCCGAGTCTTCTGATCCTACTTCCGTTTTCCAGTAACCATAACCTCAATCCGAGTTAGTTCTCGTAACCCTGCAGACTCGTTCTTTTTTAACCAACTCCGAGTCTCCGGTTGGTCTTCCCCAGGTTCTCGCTCGACGAGGGCATCAGCTGGGAGGTCTCCCAGTTCGCAGAACTCCCGTTTGCGCTATTGAAGCCCCGTAGCAAGCGCTTCCGACTCTTCTAGTTCTACTTCCAGTTCCCAGCCACTCTCGATTGTCCATTTTTTCAAATCCAGCAAACTCGTACCTTTTCATGTTGCTGACTTCAAGTCCCCGGTTGTCTCCCCCAGGTACTCCCTTGACGAGGGCTCAGCTGGGAGATCTCTCAGTTCCCGATTGCGCCGCTGGACCTCCATACCTTACCAAACAAGCGCTTCTTGGATGTTTTCGTCTCACTTCTACTTCTCTATTACTTTCATTTTCATTATCGAGCTGATTCCCAGAACGCCGCAGACCTTTTTGATTTAAATTCCCCGGTTGGTCTCCCCCAGGTACTCCCTCGACGAGGGCATCAGCTGGTAGGTCTCCCAGTTTGCGGACTCCTGTGCTGGCCCTCACGTATTCGGCCAAACTGGGTTTATACATTCCGTTACTTTCTCTTCCAAGCTAGTCCTTGGCCGTGCTGGTGCGCAGATGTTTGGTCACTGAGCCCGGGTCCCCGGTTGCTCTCCCCAGGTACTCCCTTGACGAGGGCATCAGCTGGGAGGTCTCCCAGTTCGCGGACTCCCCGATGGACGTGTTTAACATCCGGGTCGAGCCGGATAATGCGGCGCTCAAGTTTCTGATTCAGGGGAAGGATTCCAGCACCGGGGAGGGCCTCGTAGTTGCGGTGGATCTGAACAAAGTGACGAGCTACCGGTTTTGCAAACCGGACGACTACGAGTTCTGGACGCCGTGAGTGGGTGTCAGGTTTCGGGATGCATGATTACGGTGAAGGTGTAGGCTTGCAGCCTTTTTTATGAAGTTGGTTGCTGTGAAGGTCACGGTTTTGGGATGCATTCGTTTGAATCTGGAGTTCTAGGCTTTGGTATTATTCACCAGATTGTGGACGCCGCGAGTATTTGTCAAGGTCTGAGATGCTTGATTCTGGCCCTCGCGGTCTACGTGTCGCGTCGCCGCTGGCGGTGACATGTTCAGCAACGGTCTCTTTCATGTATACAATTTGACGCGCCCTTCACTGAAGCTTGAATCTGCGTGCACCGCAGCTTGCATGACAGCTTTGGGTGTTTTGTCACTGTCCCCGTTTATGCCTGGCACATGCATACGGATGGTCGCCCCTTGCCCAGAAGAATCGAAGTTTCTCATTGAGGCAGAGAGACCATTTAGGGTCGTCGAACGCTCTGATCGATCTTTTGACAGCAGGAGTGTCGCCTCGCGCCCCTTGCAAGCTTAAGGTAGTGCTGTCTGGCCGCTCTCTTCGCTCACGTTTGTTGGTTGAACGGAGTACCGTGAGCGAGCCGCTTCAAAAGCACGAAAGCACCCACGATCATGAAACGCGACACTTACATCTTGGATGTAATCATTACCACTCTCTCCGCAGCACGCTGGGCGGGCAGTGCCTGCTGGGCCAGATCCTGCGCATCCACCGCCAGAAGCCGCTCGTCAAGTGCTGGAACGGCGAGGCGTATGTGCGGCAGCCCACCTCTAGTTCCCCCTGCGCCTGCTCGGTGGCCGACTACCAGTGCGACTTTGGGACCGTGCGCGACGACCGGTTCATCATCGAGACGGACCGGGGGGTCTATCCCAAGTGCGTCAAGATCCCCGGGGTGGACCCGGGGCAGTGCCCCAGCGTGGCCGCGGGGGGGTACCGCTTCAGCGAGTGAGGAAATATCCGCATTTTAGGCTAGTTCTAAAAGGCGGGCATACTATAATATAAGACCAGGTGATGTAATTTCGGTACTCTGGGTTGGTTTGGGGCTTCGAGTTTTGGAAATTGAGTCTTACTCTATTTGAGGTCCTGAAGATGTTTGGGGCTTATGATTATGACGTGAGCCCATTGGAGAGTTTGTGGTTCTGCTGCTCTCGCTGTTGTGGACTGGTGAGTAAAAGGCCACGCCTCTTGTATAGTCGGGGGTTTTGAGTCTTGAGAAGTGGGGGTCGGGTTGGGCGTCGATTTGCTTTCGTTGCCGACTGAAACCGTCGAAGTTACGACCCCTTCCAAGCCGCATTCGACTAGCCGCCTTGAAATCTAAGCAGCCACTTTCTCCACAAACCTTCGAACCCGCTGTAGCTCAGCTTATACCAGGTAACGTGTACAACCCGCTTCGTCTCAAACTAGGCCGCCATGTCCTCTTTCTCGTCGTCACAGATAGTTATGAACTAATCAAACCTCGTGATTATAAGCTCATATTGCCTCATCTCCTCATCTCCATCTGACGTCATCTACCCCTCCCCTCCGCAGAACCCACCAGCGGCTCAACCCGGGCGACCCCTGCACGGATCCCCCCTTCGAGAGCGGCAAATTCGTAAACGGGGGGCCGATTCCGACCTCCACTTCGTCGGAAGGGGGGGGTAGTTCGTGGCCGGCGCCCGCTTCGCGGAGGGGGGGCTTCCCGGGTTGGGCGACGGTCATTGTGGTGGTGCTAAGTGTTGCGTTGGTTGGAGGGGGGACGTTGACGATCATGATCCAGCAGGGACGGATACCCGACCGGTAAGAAGAGAGGCGATTCAAATTTGAGGTTGCGGTTCTGAAATTATTGGACGAGTGCTTGTAACCGAGAGGTCTTTTTCGTTGTGGAATAATCTGCGACGAAGTGGGTTTGGATCGTACCGTGTGGTTGTTGCTAGATTAGTAAGACCCTGCGGATGTTGGGAAGACCCCCAGATCGCCGGGAAGCAACATCTTCATCGGCTTTGCCTTTTGGGTTGCTGTCTGGCAGACTGATCTTTCGTGAGGCTTCGAACGGAGCGGAAGGGCTTGAAAGAAAGGAAACCAGTCTTAACGGTCGAAGTAAGTGGAAGTAATTGCGTTTGCTTCGCTGTGGTTGCGGGGCTCGGGGAGACCGGTTGAGGTGTAGCCGGTTACGAGAAGCTTGCCTCGCTTTTGCTCCGCCTTTGCGAGCAAGCATCGGTGTCGTTTGTCCTTCAGGGCTTCTTTTTCTGCCAACGAACTACGCCTGGTAGGGTGGAACAACAATAGCCCTCTGGCGGATGCTTTTGGTTTGGAAAATGTCAGGGCGCAGTAATGCCAAGACAGACCCGTGTGCCCGGTAGCCGATCAGGGCTTCTGGAAGTTGCTGAACGTGTCTTCTGCCTTCCGGTATTGACTAGAGTAGCCTGTTGCTGCAGGTGGTTGGAGCACATTCCGTTTATACAACGGCTCCGGTACGTCAACATGCGGAGCAACTTCCAGTCGCTTGCAGACGATTTCGGTTTCGATTTCGAGGATGCGGACGAGGCACGTCCAGCATGACTGTGCACTTTGTATATACGTTTCGTCGTCCGGCTCGCTCTTATAGAATGCTGTGTGCAGTGCCGTTGATTGGTTCGTGGACACCTTCAATGTGTTGCATTTTGATCAAGCTGGTGTGCACACCCACTTCAAGTGCTGGCTGTTTTGAAACCTCCAAAGCGTCCTTCATATGAGAAAGTTGCACTTTTAAGGACATATGCATGCGTGCTGCGTAATGCCAACTCTGCCGGCAGCCGCTAGAATGGCGGAGCGTCCAGCTAACCCACATGGCGGCATGCAGGTGAGCTTATACCAAATGAAGTCAGCGAATCTTAAACTGGCAAGGTCAGCTGTTTTATGCACTTCATGCACATGGGCAATTCCATTTTTGGCTGCATGTGTGATGAAAGCGGCACACTGATGCCCGCGTTCAAGCCTTAATCAGGCTTTCATCTTACTCACCGCGGACGTGATTGAAGCGGCGCCGCCCCCGGAGCACCAACCTGATGGCCACGCGGGGTAGCATATGTATCAAATTGCCCAGAGGCGCTGTTGGATATATTGCATGGGCCGCGGTACGCGTGCATGAACGCGTGCATCATATATAACGTTCAATCTCACATAGATTCATGCATGGATACATGCTGACTTTCGGGCGTTGTCAGACCCGTATCCGCATGATTGTATACGTGAGTCTATAGGCTTCTTAGTACATGCGCATATGTGGTGGTGACAGCTCATCCCGACCAATTTGATGGAAAGAGGCCGGCCGAAGTTATGGCAGTCCTCGAGTTGCATTCCATTCCATTTGTGCCGCCACGTCATGGATCAAACGACAACGGGACGACTTGGCGGAATCGCATGAATTCAAATGCCGCCAAGTGCGTGACCTACTCCAGAAGGTGATTCACGAGAATCTGCTGGTCTGCTGACTTCACAGTTTTGCAATTTGACAGCTCTCATGTGCATGGTTCAATGAGCCTTCCCTCGATTGGGAGGGACTGACCATTTGTGTTTTCCGAGCGCACTTTCAGACGGCCCGAGGACCCAAGTAGGCGTTCACAGCATTTGGCTTCTGCTTCACTCGTCATGATTGATGCCAACAAAGTAGACTCATAGCAGTCAACGTTTTCTTTGAAGTGTACCTTGATCCCGCATACATCTCAAAAAGCAGCAACCACGTTCAGATCCAGTGATGATGTAACGAAACTTGCTGATTTCCTGCGGACACACAAATCTCAAAACGTTTTGTTTCACTCTGTCTTTTTCAGCCGTATCTAACAAAGTTGTTGAAGCTCAAAGCACCACGTTGTAGTACGTCAAGTCTGTCGAGCCCCTGCTCTAGACTCGCAAAAAGTTCAAGAGGGCCTAAAAAACGATTCTCATCAATGAACCGCATCAAGTTGGCAAGACCTGAGCTGTTTTTGATGAAACAGCGTCTTTATTGCCACAACGCGGCTGGCCCGAACTCACCCCATTCAGGTATGGGGCCACGACAGTATTGAGGAACAGCTATTGATTCCTACCTCCAGCTTCCAGAGGTTGTCAACTTCGTCAAGTGATTGCCTTCCTCCTGACTCGTGTACCTTTCCAATGCCTAGATGCTTGTGAGCCTTAGGAATGGATCGAAGACCGAGTAACCGGACCCGTCCTCTATCCACCATCGTGACGTCGTAGCATCCAACGCCTCAGCACAAACAGCGACGTGAACCCGGTACTCAGAAAGCATTTTTTTGTGCACATTTGGAAGAAGTCGGGTGCCTTTCTCAAGGAGGGACGCTGGATCGTTTCCTTTAGGCTCGGAGCTGCTTGACAAGATGACAACATCTAAGAAGATCTCCGACGACGAGGCTGTTGCTAGCTCTGCTTCACTTTGGGGGGTGACTTCCTTGAGCAGAGCCGTGATGCTGAACAAAGCCCTTTTATATACGGGAACCCCTGCGGTCTCCCCCCATAGAACTATTTTCTTATCTTTCCTCAGCAGGATCAGACAACCCGGAAACTCGTCGACTGGCGGCTTGTGAACAAAAGGGCGGCGTCGACTAGCTCGGAAAAGTCTATGGTAGCCTCCAAACCTCGCCACAGCCGCATCAAGCTCAGGCGTGACAACTATCGAGCTCTCATGCGGACTCGATGCCCAGCCAAGAAAGGTAGCCCTCCAGAGGCCGAGGCAAAAGGACAGGAAGGTCTTGCTTATAATCGCGAGTGCGGAAAGAGATGGGGGATCCTGATCAGCGAGCTTTTGAAGAATGATGACAATCAACTCTTCGGGAAGCATTAGGATGAGACATGCTTCGTCTTCAACCTGGGGGTCGAATCCAGGCGTTACAGAGGGATTCCGCTCAGACAAACGCTCAGAAGCACCAGTGCTATAAGTAGGACATATCGTTTCAATCGTGGTTGGCTGCGCCAGCTCGTTCCTGGAGGTATGTTCCATCCTCTAACTTAACTCACAGATTGTCCAGATTGTCGTCTGAAGGCTTTGTTCAGACGGTGGATTGATCAAGCGCAGCGGCCCCTTCGATCTTAACGATTCAGGAACTCAGTAATCTGCCGGGAGGTCAGCGTGCGAAACTCTTCGTCAAATGCACGCGGCGCGCACGGCTCAGAACTATGCTCCCTCCAGTGCAGTTGTTGATTTTTCATACAAATGTGTGAGCTCGTCTACAGAGCGACTGCGCAGATATTTCAACAGATAGGGTATGATGCGGTCTCAGAACGGGTTGATTAGGAGCGCTGGAAAGGCTTTTATGATTACCTTGCAGCAAGGACGACCTCAGGATTCTAACCTTTAAGGCTTCGCTGAGCCTCTTCACCTCTTGCCAATCTTATGAAGCTGGTTGAGAGGCTGCAACACAAATACTGTAGCTCTGTAGAAAGAGTTCAAAGCTGTGAGGTAGGCTGCTTCCACCGCATCAACCGCATGGACTTCAAACTAAAGCATACTATAAAAGCAGTGAGTCATGCGGGCGGGCGCGATGGTGACTCGGACACGGCCGGCGGCCGCGGCTGGGCGAAATCCGACTGAGTCATGGATTTGGCCCGGCCGCGGGGGTTTGGGGTTTGACGTGCGTCGCCGTGCGTGCGGAATCAAAGATCGGTTTCACGACTAAGCCTATTTAAGGGGTACATCACTTACATTGTACCTAAAGAATGCATGGCCTAGGTACGGTAGATGCATAAACCTGTAGATCTTAGTGGTACCAACAGTACAGAGCTCCAGCAGAGTACTGCTTTGACCAAGACTTTCTGAGGAAGGCCCAGCGACAGGAGCTGTGCACGGCAAGGAGCGAGCAAGAAGAAGGCGACTTAAGCTGGAGAGCTCATCAAAAGCTTGAGGTTCCCCGGCGTCAGGGGCATTCCGTGACGTGCGAGCAACTTGCTGCCTCAGCCTAAGAAAGAGTTGAGGAAGCTCGGTGAGATACTTTGCAGATTGCAAGACGGGGTTGGGAAGTGGAAGTTAATCGGAGAGATGGAGGGCAGCCCCATGGAGCTGACCAAGGAGTGGCTGCGCAAGTTCTGCAGGGAGCAGAAGCTGTATACGACGCCTTACCTCAACGACAAGCTGTACCTCCACTTCAAGGGCTTTGAACGCATCCAGAATCTGGAGGAGTATACAGTGAGCTGGACCTAGATTTCCGCGGCTTTCTAGATGCCGCAGTCTGGCAATGCCCAGTTTGGCAATCTACTGCACCCTTGCAGACCAACAGGAAACCTCCTTTCTGTCGCCACGTCCGGTGGAAGCACTTGTCAATGGCACCCCAAATGTATAATGTTAGCAAAACGGTATGTTTGTGCTGAGTAGGGTGGTTCTATGCCAGTTGCTGCGCTGTATGGGAGTTATGAGGGCATACCGTGCACAGAACCAGGTTGCAAGGTAAACAGGGGGCTGGATTCAGCAGCACCTGAGTTTGGAGACTTACATCACAATGTGCTTTCTGCTGGTTACCACCAGTGCTCATGGCAGCCCAATCCTCGGTGTAGCCACCAGTGGCTACACCCTCAAAACAATGCCTGGAATTTTGCACAACAAATGACTGAAGTCCCGCATTAGCTGTCAGTCAACCACCTTCTAGTGGTGGAAGCACCACCCTTTTACCAGACCGATTCGATTGGTCTTGGGATCCACTGTGCAACAGAAGTATTTGTCAAAGGTCTTATCTTCATCTGGCGCTAGCCAGGTGCTAATGGAATTCGATACGTTGCATCCAGGGCCTGCGGTCGCTGTTCCTGGAGGGCAATGGCATCGACTCCCTGGCAGGCCTGGAGGCTCTGCGCGAGCTGCGATGCCTGTACGTCCAGCAGAACTGCATCGAAAGGATTGACCACCTGGAGAACCTGATAGAGCTGGACACAATCAACATCAGGTTAGTGACGGACCTGCAGTACTCGTGGTTTGGGGTTCTTTAGCAAGTGTCAGGCGCAGCCGCTAAATGCAAAGTGTTGACAAAGTGATTTGAATCTGGGTGAGCTTTCACTCCAAGTGTTTGGGACGATTGGAACAATTCCGTCCTTTCGAATGTAATCTCACCCAGAATCACGAGAGCTCAGAAGTGGCGAGTGGACTCGTGAGATTTCGATCTGACGTAACTTCACCTCTGCTTCTGCACCGCATACAATTATCGATTCTACCACCCTTTTGAAGATTAATATGGCCCTGTCGAATTTTAGGCAGCTACAAGTGCGCACATCACGGTTCGCAGTTAAGGCATAAAAGTGCAACTGCTCTGGTGCTGAAGAACACAGCTACCTTACATCAAGTGTCTCCTTAATGCTTCCCACTTTACAACTTTCAATCCTAATCAAAAATCCCCCTCTTCTTAAAGATAGCATGGCCCCTTCTCTATATGCAGCAACAACTCGGTACGGGTACTGGAGAATCTGAGCTGCCTCCCCAAGCTCCAGACCCTAATTGCTTCCAAGAACAGGTTCGACTCGGCAGAGGGCATTGCACACCTCAAAGAATGCCCGTCTATTAGGTGAGGCCCGCAGACTTGGGGTGCAAAACGAGCTGCGAGTTCGGTACATGAAATCACTAGACCAAGAAGGACTTCCTGTAAATCGAGTGTAAGACAGCTAGGATACAACGCCGGGAAGCGATGGCCTTTTGTGGGTAGTATCAAAGGTGGTGCCCTGTGCAGACAGAATTGAGAAGCTGCAAACTACAAGTGCGCTGAGGAACTTGAGAACTGCGTCTATCGAGAGCCAGCCAGCCCCATTATCCCCACGTTGACTGTTGGATATGGCGTCTGAACCAGGGTGCATCGAGGTCCGTCCACCTGCAACATCCATAAGCATGCAATCGAGGATGCCATGCTTTCATTAAAGTTCGTACCAGAGGCTCTGTGTTAGCCATTCGGACTTGACAGATCAAGTTGCTTACTTGAGGACTCTTACCCACTTCTTGACAGTCGCTCGGCAGAGCGGGACGACGCATGCGTTTTGCAGACTAGTAGAATGGGAAATGTCAAAATCAGTCGCGTGCATGCGAGAGCACGTTGAACCAACGCTGATCTTGTGTTGCAGCGTTCTCGACTTGTCCGAAAACAAGCTTGAGGACGGCCAGGGCGTTTTGGACGTCCTCAAAGCCATGCCCAAACTGCGGTGCGTCTACCTCAAGGGGAACCCCATGGTGTCAAAACTGCCCAACTACCGCAAGGTTGGTTGTTCTGACGCTGAGTGACAATTATCGACGATTGTGCGGATGCTCGGAAGGTTCTTTTTGGACAGACGCTGATGCGTCTGCATCATTATCCACCCACTTCCGTCGGACTTCGACTGATGAAGTCTGACCGAAATGAAGGCAACGAGGAGCAGCAGAGGCGTAGTGATACCTGGGATATTACGTCCGTTCGAAGAAGCAGGAAATGATTCCGGAAGAGAAACGGTCGTCAGATGATGTCAGGCAGAGGCCCAAACAAGAGAATTCTCCTCGGACATTCGGTAGCCTGCACCTTGTATGATTTCGGTGCAAGCTTCAGTAAGAGAGCTTCTGTGACCCTTGGCAGCAAAGCTTTGCTTGATGTTGGTGTCTTTGGTTTCCTGCCAGCCCGAGCGCTGGACCAGTGCAGAGATTGTGCAGAAAGAGGTTGCCAAGTAGTCGATGGGTGAAGCACAAGTTCAGAAGAGCACAAAGGCCACGTTAAAGTTGATATGTGGAGAAAACAGGGCGTTACGAGGTCGTGCTGAAACCGTTAGCTGTGCTGAGACATGGATGTTTCCGGCTAACATCAAACGCCTTTGGAAACATGGTACTGAACAGGAGATTCTTTAATGCATCAGGCTCTCATCGCGTCGCTTCCAAATCTCAAGTACCTTGACGACCGCCCGGTGTTCGACGCCGACCGCGCGTGCGCCGAAGCTTGGTAAGAACCCTTACATTCTGGATTGTCAGATGGTTTCAAGGCGCACGATGTCGGCTGGCTGTTTCACCTTTGTGCGGTTTCACATACGCGAGTCTCAGACTTCTGTTGTGTCGTGTGCAAGACGAAGATGGACTGGCGATTTTGGTTTCGGAAAAGAAGGGCAGAGCAGGGCTAGTGCAAGGCCTCGAAGTTTTTCGTAAGAAGCGCAGACACTGAGATCTTTGGTTCGGCCTCAGCCAAACCCTTTCAAAGCAACGAAAGCTTTTGAAAACTCATGAGAATACAGAGGTGCGAGGATGCGAGACAAACCTGCTTTCCAAACGCAGGGCTCGCGACGGCCTGCAAGGAGAGCGGGAAGCGCGAGCGCGACTGAGAGAGGAAGAGCGCTCACGAGAGGAGCGGAACTTCCGAGGTGAGACGGGGCAGATTTCTGCATAGCACTGATTCGGCTTGCAAGAACGTTGGAGGGGGATGTCCTTGCGCTAGAAATGTGGCGACCTGAGGTCCATCTTCTCTTGACTTGCTTCCACGAAGTGTTCAGGAGCGGCGAAACGTGGGTCTTTGATTTGCAGATCGGAGGTCTGAATTTTACAGAGCGGTAGCAAACTTGTCAAGGACATGCAAAAGTTGTCCTTAAGAACAACTGAAGGACAAGTCAAGTCGTTGAGACTGAGAAGATGCTGGGAACGCGGAAAAATAGCTCCATTTCCGATACTGCCCGACACGAAGTTTGGGTACTGAAAACATACACGAAAAGAAGGCAGACAGCATAAAGAAGAGGGAAAATTTAACTTGAATGACAAGCAGAGGACAAGGAAACGGAAATGCAGTAGATTCTACCGGCTGGGAGCGAGACCCTCCTCCCTCCTCTCTGTAGCGATGAAGCAATGGCGGTCCCAAAGCTTCGCTGAGCGGCGCGTGTCGATGGGGCTGCCGCCGCTGGAGGACGAGGAGAGCGGCAGCGGAGACGACATGGAAACGGAACGGGAGCCGCCGGAACTTATCCGGGCGCGTGAGACGCTCGCGCACTACCCCGCGAGGTGGGCACCTGCCACGTGGCGGATAAGATTTTGACTTCGCATCGCCCACCCTTTACTTGGACAGGAAGGCTCAAATGAGGAACTCGTAAACTTAGGTTACGTTGAAAGCGGCAAGCAAGTGGGCAGCGGACGTCAGAGAAGCTCGAGTGCGCTGGTTTTAGCCGTCCGTCCTCGGTGCTCGATATCAGATCCTCGGTAAGCACTACGAGAATTCGACGGTCGCTTCAGCGGACAGTTCATCAAATGTTACAGCCGATAGTCCATGGTTCCCTTACTCCGTTACACTTCGCCCATTGGCTTTTTCGCTGCTCTCACTTCTGACGCGCGCTCTACTTTCTTTCCAGACTAGGGGAGGAAGAGCCCCCCGAGCTGACGAACGCGCGCGCGGCAGTGCGCGCGAGCGACTCCCCGACCAGCGTCGCCATGGAAGGCGCCAAGGCGACCGGGTTCGGCGGAGAAGCGAGCGAACAAAACAGCGGGCGCACCTCACCCGAGCCGGGGATCCGGTCGGAGATGGCAACCGAGCCTGAAGCTCAAATCGATTTGTCCCCGGGGGGTGCGACTGGGGCGGACATGGTCGTCGAAGAAGCTCGCCTCGGCCCCGGGTCGTTGGACGAGCGAGCGGATGTACCGGACGAGGAAGCGTCCGGAACTGAGCAAGCGTCCGAAGGGGACAGAGCGTCCGAATGGCTTGATGAGGGCGAAGATGCTTTTGGGCCATTCGTTGGCACGGCCGGGCACATTGAGGGCATGGAAGTAGCCAGTTTCGTCGCTCTGGACGAGGACGAGTTGGATCTGAACGATCTGGATTGACCAGGTCTCTTTTCAGAGCAGTTGTGGTGAGGTTGCCAGAGGTACATAGTCGCAGCATCAGCAGGGAGGCGGATGTAAGCCAGTTGCCCTTGATTCAGAAATACGATCTGTGACACGACATGTATCGGTAGTCTTCCCTCCGATCCAAAGTAATTCAGGGCACACAGCCCGGAATTGCGCTATCATCACCAAAGTCACTTGTAAGGGTCAATTAAGTAGGAACACTTTTGCACTAAAAAGATCCTCTCTGTTCGGGCCTTGTGAAGACATGGTCTCGTCAATCAAGTTCGAAGGCCTCGCGGGGGCCTCGCTCTAGATGCACTATCTACATACGTTCAAGCGGTCATCTGCCATGCACTCTACGACACCAGCCGAACCGATTGATTGTAGTAAAGCCTCCTCATGTATATATGTACTCTGCATAACGCGAAAACACGAGACTACTGCTGTGACTGCTGTGGATATCTCTCAAGCAACGTCAGTAGGTCAGGTTTCGAAGTGTACGCCACATCAACTGACAGCAGCGATACTAACGATCATCTACGCGCTGTTGACAGGGCTCTCTGGATGCAGCGAGCGCCAAGGAGAGCTTTGTTTGCAAAATGTCACCATACGTGTAACTGCGGCACATCCAAATTCGCATGAGATACGTCTCATCAAATTGAATCGGTCACAGCCCACCGAAAGCATCCCAAAAGGGGACCGAAAGCAGCCAGATCGAGTCGTTTAAGCCCTCATCAGTTGACGCAACACCGGCCTGTCCAAAGGGCCAGCTTCTGGTGATAGTTAGATATGGTTGGCTGAGCTGCGAATTGTCACCCTTAGTACCACCTTAGTACCATCGCATAGGAGTGTTGCGTCGAGAGAGGTCGAGAACTTCTGTGAGGAAACCCAGCGGGCAGTTAAGGCGGAGCATGAAGAGTTGACTTTTATGATTTCATTGGAGCTTATGACTACCTTATGGACTTGACGTCTGATCTAGGAGAGTCGAGGCTCGGATCAAGACCAGTGGAGGCCTCGGTACTAGGACTACAGCGCAGCTCCGGTAGCGACGCTGACCGTCAGCACGGCCGCGCGAAATTTAGTAGGCGTTGACGGGCGTGCATGCCAGCAAAAAGTGCACCTGGTATGCCATCATTACCGTCCGATGGCCGAGATCTGACCGCTTGGATCTCCTGCGCACGCGTATCTTGGCTATCTTCCAACTTCTCAAGATATATTCCGAAAAGCGCCGTCCATCGACGGCTATGATCAATCTGGCGGCGATTAACACCGAATCTGTTGCAGCTTCGCGCCATTTCATGCAAGTCTGACTACGTCACCCTGCTTGCATGATCACATGGTAATCTTGTGGAGATGCTCATTGGCCCTGCTGCGCCACTAGCTACCTAGAATGTTCTCTCTCTCATGGTCAGCTCTGCCACCATGATGATGGCTTTGACATTCAGAGACTGATCAAAACAACAACCCCCTGCTGGGAAGGGGGTTGGTGCAAGGTCACGTTTCCTGGTGCTAGCAGCTGCTTCTTTGAACGGGGAGCGGGTGCGGCGGCGACGCCGTCAGCTGCACAGTGATTCTTGGTGCCCCTCGCTTAGCGTGTGTATGGCACAATCGTTACCAACCCTGGCATTGTCAGATAGGCTTTAGCGGCTCTTTCTCTGAGTCATTGATTGTGACCAACTTTGCTCTTTAGTAGCTTTGCTTTCATCCAATATATTTCCCTTCGTGATAAATTTCACGCGACCTTAAAGGTATTTGGTCAGGGCAGGAGTGTTCAAGGGGGGCCCAAGCTGCAAGGTGTTTCTGCAAGGTGTGGGGTTCTTTGTGACCCTAAGTGGCAATGAGTTAGCCAGCATTGACGCTTTTGTAAGGTAGTAGGCGCACAAAGCAAACTGTTGAAAGCTAGAATAGCTCCTTAATGTAGAACAGCCCCTTTATCAGAGGTACAAAGCTGCCCTTGACATAGTTGTATTACCCCTAGCTATTGCTTCTCTCCACCCACATAGCTTACCTTCGTAAGTGCAGCTCAACATGCCGAAGGCCAAGAGAAGCGCCTCCAGAAAGGGCCACCGCTCCACCCCATCTGGCGGCCCTGGCTCCTCATCCCAATTTCCAGAAGAAGAAACAAATAAATCCATGGATGAATTCTATCAGAAGTGCAACGAGGCTGCTCTTTGGGGCCTCGGGAAGTTTGTTGAGGTGTCGATCTTGGCCTATGGTGCGACAGCACTCTGCACGATGTTCGCTTATGGAAGCGCTCTTAGGGGTGGGAAGTCGTTGGCCAATCTTGGCACGGTGGCCATCTTGTTGCTGCCTTGGGCGGCAGTCGTGAGCTCTGGGGCTGTGCTGGTGACGAAGTTGGGGTGGACGACGCTTATCTTCCTTGCGGTGAGTGTGATTGCGGTGGTTGTTTTTACTTGCTCAAAGTTGATGCAAACACTCCATTCTTCATCGTTAGATTGGCGTAAACCAAGTCCGCTGGTGATTGCAGAGTCAGTCAAAGGCAGTTGCTCTGTTGATTCGTAATGAGGTTGCTGAGAAAGAAGTATCCCTAGTAGGGACTTGTGCACGAGTAGTGCACATTGACGATTCAGCATCTTGCAGTGTTAGGGCGGTCTTTGCTCAAGTTATGACTCATTGGAGAGTTCATGCGTCTCTCATTGATGATGGATAAATAAGTTGCTGTAGAGTGTGTGATGTGCGTGGTCTTCTGTAGACTCAGTTGTATGCTAAAGGTAAGGCTGTTTCCTGTTCTACTCGCGTATCTTTTCCAGTTTCGGAAAAGCCATCTGCTGACATTGACATTGTATTTGGGGAAAGCATTTTTTACCACCAAATGAGTGCCTTCATGGTCCAATCATTTTCTCGAGTTCACAGATGCCAAGGTTGTATGATTTTAAGCTCGTTGCTTTTACTACGCAGTGTGACAAGATTTCCGAAGTGGATGTTGAGAATTATTGCAAAGGAGATTTGTTGATGATTTGCTCTTACCGCTCCATACCACCAGACTGTGGACACAATCTTGAGGTCAGAGCATCAGCATGTTCATCTTTGAGCACGGATCATCTTGTGATCAGCTTCTTAAAAGGGGCCACAGAGTTGTTATCCCAATTAGTCCATTGACAGCATTCAGCACACGCTTTAGCCTTACTTGAAACTGCGTCTATGTTTAACCAAGTTCCAGCGCTCCCAAGCACCTTCTGGCCGCGAAGGAGCCATAGGATGTGAGAGAGGAGTTTTCAACAATTCACTTCTGTTGCTTGCAGGCCCTGGCATTTGGACTATTCCGCTATTACGGCACCATGGCAGGAATCCTGGCAGTCGGGGTGTACTCTGTGGTTGCTCTCTTCTTGGGGGGCAGCCCTTGGACCACTTTGCTCGTCACAGTGGCAGGATGTAAGCAGCCTCTGATGCAGCTTTTTCCTGCTGCGCTTTTCATTGCTGTCATTGCACCTGTGTCAGTTATCATAATCGTGTCGAAATGGCATTGGTGCCAATATCGAGCGGTTCCATGAATCAGAGTGAACAGTGTGCGTTCTGCAGTATGGACATATTGATCTTGGATTGGGCATTACCTGCGTCTGGCCTCAATGCTGCATTTCAGGGTCACGAGAATTCACCTCATTTCGTTCAGGCGCCCTTTTCTACTTCCGCTACACCGCCCTCGCGCTCGTCGGCACCCTCTGCTATGCGGCGCTCTCCGTGTATCGCACGGGGGGCTACCTGGCGGTCGGGTGCACCTTCCTTGCGGCCTGCCTATCCAATGACGTCATCCAATACCTGGCGGCGCAACTCCCCCCTGAAGAGAAGACACCAGGGGCCGCAGCTTCAGACGAGAACGTAAATGCGGGGCGCTCGCGGGAGTGGAGCTGGACTGATCCCGCCAGGGGGGCCGGGTGGAGCTCCGGCACGTCTCAGAGTTCTCAGCACTCGAGCTGGAAGGATACGACAGGGGGGTCTGGTTGGAGTTCCGGCAACTCGCAGCAGAGGACGAGCCGGGAGAACTTCTACAACTCCACGTATGGGGGGGGAAGAGGTGACGGGACGAGCGGGCGCGGGCGCGGGCGTGACTCCGGCCGGGGTGCAGGGGAGAGCGCGAGTACGTCGGGGTCGTCGTATTCGTACGGGGGGTCTGGCCGGCCTGGGAGGGAGCGGGAAGCCTCGGAGGCGCATGAAAACAATAAGAAGGAGTCTCCAAAATCGTCTCAGAGGAATGGCAGTAGCGCCTGGTGGCAGAACGGTGGCCCTTCGGACAGAGGGGGGCACTCAGAACAGGAAAAGGAAAAAGCTTCCCCGGGGGCAGTTCCGCCCTTTGCGCGGTCACCATCGTTTGCAGCAGATCTGGGGGACGCTGAAGCGGAGGTGGCGCGGATCATAGCGTGCACCACGCACTGGGCGGTGATGGACATAGCGAGGGGGGCGACAATCGATATTGCAGAAGCAAAGCGCACGTATCATAAAAAGGTGAGCGTGGAGCTGTACGAATAATATGCATATCGAGCGGAGGGGTTCTGTTGCGGGCAGGTCTCCCGGTAGGTTGGCAGCAACGGGGTTTCTTACTGCAGGTTGAAACGGGTTTAAGAGAATCATTTTTGGGGAGTATGGAAAAAGGAAGAATTGAGGCGGTTGTCGTATGTCGACCTCTGGTTCTGTGAGCGAATCTGACATTCTCAGAAGCCTACAGATTTGTCTACTTGTCAGCTTCTTGAATTCAAGAGTTCACGATCGGTCGATGTCCATTTCGCGTGGTTTTGCGCGCTTGCTGAGGGCAAGCTTGGGAGATTTCTCGTGTTATTGGGAGAGGTTCGGGATTCTGAAAGATTTGAGCTCCATTGCTGGAGTAGCAAGGATTTTTCAATCAGCTGCTGTCAAAGTTTTGGTTGAGCTTGGTACCTGATTGAGGACTTGAATGGCCATTACCATTGTCTACAGGCAGCGTAGTAAGGAGCTCGAAGACAGTGTGAAACGGGGTCAAGGTTACACGTTGTGTCCATGTTCGCAAGGCGTCGGAGCAGGGAGCCTGTGATGTCATCGTTTCTGAAGAACATCTGACCACTGATGTATACCACATTGTCATCACTAGACTGAGGCTACCCTCTGCTCCGGCCCTTTGCGTATTCTTTTCCTGCTTTTTCCCGACTGCCAGATCGAATCTGCCGCTTCTCTGACTGCACACTCCTCAATCAGCCAAAACTGGATGAGACCCAATATCTTTACCTGACCTCTCGTCACTCACTCTTTTGCCAGGCCCGGTTGGTCCACCCCGACAAGAATGCCGGGTGCGCAAACGCGGGGGAGGCGTTTAAGTGCCTGCAGGCAGCCTACGAAACGCTGATCGATCCAGTCAAGAGAAAGGACTACGAAGACGAGTTGAAAGCCAAAGACATGGGCGAGCGATTTCACAAAATGGCGGAAGAAGCGAGGAATCATTCGCAGGGGGGACGTGGTCAATCAGGGGTGAGAACCAGCTCTGACGGTGGAGCTTGTTGTCCTTAAGTTTCGTACGTGCTGTTTGGCTGGTTTTCCCGGTTGTTGTGAGCGCTGGTTCAATCTGTGTGCAGGTTTAAGTGACTGTTTTGGATGTAGGATTTGGTTATTGCATTTGATGATGCGGGACCCGGCCAGCGGGTGGGTGTGCTCGAGGTGTGCGACCTGCATCAGAAAGGCACAGTTTCTGCCTTTCAGGAGTTGCTCTTTCTTCTGGACTGGGTCCTTATTAGCTATAAGTTGAGCAGATTCTGAGAAGCCCTTTCAAGGCGACTTACTCTGAACTGGCTGTGCTGAACAGAGGCCCCCGAAACCATGCTAGCTGACGTAGAATGGTTTAACGTCAGCGCTGTCATCAGTATCCTTCCAGCACCTGTTCAGTTGGCCGCCTTGGACCGGCCTGCAGTCTTAGCACTACTGTCTCCAGGGTTTTTGATATTGTGTGCTCATTCTGACAGTTACCTCATTGCGGGAACTTTATTGTTGTCACTTGCCCGTTCAGGTTCGGCGGCTTTGGCACTGAGGAGCATTTGTTGCAATGCTTTGGAGTTTTAGTATCCTGCTGTGACGCCGTCTGCTTTCATCTCCTCACCGCCGGCGTTCTTACGCGCGAGCTTCGACCCCTTGTCTTCATGATGCGTTGGCTTTTGCTCTCTTGCTTACGTTATCTGCTCAATGATGCCTATCGCAGGCGTCCCTCTGCGCCTTTTGACCCTGAGGAATGTGTTTACGACGCTTCTGACCGTCAGCCTCTTGCTGTCTTGCTGACATCATTTCTTCTTTTTCTCGTCACGCAGGCGTCCCCCTTTGCGAACTTTGACCCCGAAGAGTTCTTCCGCGAGAGCGACAGCAAGAAGGTGCACTGCTACCACTGCGGCGACTCCCACGAGTGGCTCAAAGTGGACCGCCCCAAAAAAGCCTGCCGCTGGTGTACGGTGAGGCATAGTTCCGCGCGCTTCCCCCGATTGCTTCTCTCCTTTCTATTGCAGTCGCAGTTGCTTCCTATCTACTTCAGTTTTGGCCCGTTTTGTGGCAGCCCGTTCTGGCGGCTTGATCTTGACAATCTTATGGTGCTGTTTCTGGGTAGGTTGCCTTAAGAAGGCCTGTCGCTGATGCGCGGTGGATGTCGGCCTCCGCTCTACTCATCTAAGCCCGGAAACTAGGCTTGGGGTCTGTTTATGCGCTCTCAAAGCGATGGGGCTGCCTTCTGTTATTCGCTGTTTGAGTGGGCTGTTGAAATCTCGTGGGAGATTAGAGGTGAACGATCTGCCGCCAGCCGCCAGATATAATGCAGGCGTTTATTGGGAGACGGTCTTTTTCCAGCCTTTGAGCCGACTCTGTCCGCCATGCTGCGCTTTTCAGTCCGCGTGCGCCCCCCCGTTATCTGCTCGTTTGCAGAGTCCCGTTGGCCTTACTTACTACTGCTAGTCTTGCTTTGCTGATTATTCACTTGAATGTGCGCATTCTGTTCTCCTTTTCACTCGACTGTGCTCAGATTGTGTTTAAGCCCTACTAACGAGCCCAAATCCCGGTATTTGCTCCTTACCGTCCACCTTCTGCTCGATGTAGGAGTGCAACAAGTACCACGGTGCGGCAGAGGGTGACGGCTGGTTCGAGCAGGCTTCGCGGCCGACGTTCTTCGGGCTGTTCAAGCAGGAGGACCCGATGCAGGCCTTCTGCGTCGAGGGGGGGCAGGTCTACCTGTGCACCACGTGGGTCGAGTGCCAGGTAAGACCCCCCCAAATATCGCGGCAAATATGTTCGATGGGATTCTCCGACCGTCAGGAGTTTCGGACATGTCGGGATTGCTCGCTAGCTCTTCCCCGCCGGGTTTAACGAGGCTTGCATGCTGATACTGTAGTTGACAAGAACGTTGCTTTTGAAAACAATCAGGGCCGGTTCAGAAGCGAAGCATTGCTGCTAAGCGCATTCACAACGTAGTGAATGTAATGTAGTCATGCGTCTCAAACGCGAGTGGTCTTCGCATTGACGTTGAAGGTGGGTATGGTTTCGGAGCTCGTAAAGTTCGGGGTCAGGGTTGTACGTTGATCATTGCTGGGCGTATACGGAGGAAGACATTACCTTACGCAGATTTGGAAGTTCCAATACCCTATCCGCTCTTCCTTCCAGGGCATGGCCGGCCGGCCCAACACGCACAAGCCCAGTTTCGAAGTGAAGTCGGAGGGGCGCGGCCGGGGCGGCGGCGGGGGTGGAGGCCGCAGCGGTGGTCGGGGCAAGGGCCGGGGCAGAGGCGAGCCGGACCTGTCCGACGTCTTCGAGTCGGAAGACGACTTTTGGCACTTCATGGAGGACTTGATGCGGCAGGGGGGGGGTCCCCCGGGGTCTTTCGGGCCTAAGAGCCAGGGCTCAGGGAAGGGGGGTGCAGGGAAGCCGAAACCGTCGAAAAAGCAAAGGCAGAAGGCGAAGAGGAACGGGTGGTAAAAGGAGAACGGAAGCGAGTGCGGTTCGCGACTGTCGCTTTCATGTTGCGAACAGTCGTATGGCGGCAACAGTGAAGCGCAGTGGGGTTAATGGACGAAGCGGCATTGGTAAATGCACTTTGTGTGTCCAGAGTAAAACTGGGCAGACTTTGCACTCAGGCAGAAATCCTGGTTAAGCGCCCTTACTGAGAAAATTGGTTGCATGATACACTGTGTACCGAGAGTAAGCAAGTCAATTCTGCTTCATTAGCACCATGAGCTTCTCATCGGGTTAGCAGCAGTTAGCTCCTTGTACAATAAGAGGCCATTCATGAACGCAGCGCAATCACATGAAGAGCTTTTTCTTGTTGCGGCTACTTAAACTGAGGTAAAGCTTATACATAAAGCTGCAAGATTGGCGCTCCTTATCCTCGAGCTAAAGTTAGATGCTAAAGGACGGACAAGGAAAATTCGAGCCTGCTGAATTTGCGACCGTAGAAGTACCGTGTTGTCAAGCAACTTTCCTGTGAAAACAAGATCCAGAGTCAAGGGTCTACGAGTTAAAACCGGCGTATCATTGTTTTTCTCTCCCTCTTGAAAGTCTGGAGGCATGCATCATTGTGGTGACAGGTATTGTGATTGTTATGATATGAAAAGCATGCCTTTTATTGACGATTCAAGGAATCTTCCGCACTCTCATGCGGACTCATTCAACCACGTTGAGGGATCAGCGGGGCAGATGTATGCTGTAATAGGTCGTATACGTTGCATGGGTTTCAAGTTGGTGGGCCAGCATGGTGGTCGCCTCGAATTGTTTATAATACTAATGTGTTGGTTACTAGCATGTAGTTAGTAACCAACACAATGAGCAATTTCAACAGTGACGAAGCTGGCATAGAGGATACTGAGGGCGCTCGGGCCTGGCATGCACACCCTATAGTAGTTGCACCTGATTATTACTGGCGGCCGCGCGGACGCCGACGGCAGTCACGGGCCGGCCGCCGGTGCACACGGGTGAGCGCGTCGTATGCTTCTTTAGTGCGCGCTCTGCGCGCGCAACAACTGAAACACATACCTACATCTTGATTCAAGTTAATCAAGATTCAAGGCTTTGCACAGGGCGCGCTCCAACAGGGCGCCTTAGATCCTAATATTGATTACACAGCCTGAGGCGTTGTGGCGTAAGATGTGAGACGTGAGGCGGTCTGAGTTCCACTATTTGCTGGTTAGCATGGCAATCTAGCAATGACTCCAGATACTTTTGAGGGGTACCTAGCAAGCTCTGATTGCAACGGCGCCCCATCCTGCAAACATGGAGCACATTCATACTAGCTTCTGCTCACACATCCCGTGTTTCATCGATTTGAAGCCCTGAAGTACTAGATTTGGGATTGAAACGAGACAATGAAGCAAGCTTACACCAAAGTGGAGGCGTACACTTGAACTGAAGTTTTAGGGTTTTGGCAGATCCTCCTCCAATGTGAGAAGCTTACGGGGAAGGTCTTGCTATCCCTCTGTGGGAGCTCAAGTACTGCCACCTAAGAAGAAGCTCTGGTAGCACACCAGGCTTCAGCTTTTGTGCAGACCAAGTCACTGGACATCTTGCTCGGCACACTTTGTGTGGACACCTTGCAGCACCTTTCAGTCTCCTCTTGCGTGAGGAGGAGCACCTTGCCGCGCTTTCTGCGTTCCTCCCACTTGGGACTTCTGTCCGCTTAGAAGGGGCGGTGTTTGGTTGCAAAGGGCGTTTAGAGGAGGCGCTTTGAGGTCGAGGACGACCCTAATTGTCGTCATCAACACTGTCTTGCTATTGTAAGGTGCACGGGGGCCAAGTGGAGGCGCTGCCAGGGCGGCGCACTCGTAGATGGGAGAATGGGTCATCGGGGCGTGCATCAACTTTGTTGGAAGCATCGGCATAAACTTTGGGACAAACCTCCTGAAGCTGGGCCATAACCAGGTAGGTGCCGCAGAGTCTGAGCTACCTCAACTAGCAGTTGGTTCCAAGGTTGATGGCAGAGCTTAGAGGCAAGCCGTCTCGGGAACTCAATGCAGGGCAGAATGTTCGAAAGGGCAAGAGGGAGTGCCAAGAAGAGGGGGAAGGATTTCGAACATGGTGAATTCAAAGAACCCATCTTTGGGGTGATCATGACCTGTCATGTCGATTAGGTGTGCATTCTAACAGCCGGCCCAAGATCCACTAAAACAGAAAGTGGGGGCTGCTCAGGTCTTTTGAAGAATCCCTTTGAGCCCTTGATCTTCTGCACGTTGCTCACAAGTTGCGAGGAGTCCCCTGGAGTGGTTAAGGCCTGGCAAAGATGGCGGGCAGCTAGAGCTCTCCGATTCGCTGCTGAGTGTGGCAGCTCTTTCCTGAGCTATTGGCACACCCCAAACCCTGTGTAACGAGTTGAATTACGACACCTGCCCTCCCTCGCAGCGGGAAAAGCTCGCGCGGCAGGAGGCAATTGCACGGGGGGAGAAGTCGGTGGAGAAGAAGCCCATTACGCACTTCCGTGAATGGCAAGTCGGTGAGGAGCCCCAGTCAGAGCACTCCCCCAATCTGGCTAAGAGCTCCTTGCGAGAACGGTGTAAACTGCTACCATCCTGATGGACCACTCTTCCCCGCTGAATGGTCTGCATAGTTCGAATAGTCAATGAATGGGCCTTCTTTTCAAGGTGAAACCAGCCCCGCATTTGTAACCATGAGAAAGAGGGGAGCTGCGCTTCCCACAAACCCCCTGCTCTCTTGATGTAACCTTTGTCTCGCTCAGCATGAGGACCGACGTTTCATGAAGGTGTAATGGATGGAAGTCTGTGACGAAGTGCTCGTCCCATTCTCCTGTAGGGGTCGTCATCTTCGCAGTGGGCAATGCGCTCAACTTCATCTCCTTTGGCTACGCTGCGCAGGTACTAATCTTTTTGCCAGCTGTCAGCCTTGATGCAGTCTGCAAACGGTGTCCTTTTGTGCATGTTAAGTGGTGTTTGTTGATAGTTTCAATTGAGCCTATCCAACCGGCTTGCTTGTTCATTGAGAAAACGGACCAATGGAAAAAGCAGACCCCGGCCAGTTCCATCGAATCTCCTTGGCTGAGAACCAGGGGAAGTCAGGTTGTATCAGCAAGCTCGTAACAAACTGAACCATTGATACTAGGACGTGTGCCCTCAGAATATCTCGGGGAGTCTGGGTTCCTCAAGTAATCAAATCGAGACACACTAGTGGTCGAAAACGGGTCAGGCTCTGCCGTTGAAGGAGGTTTCCAGCTCGTAAGGACTTGTTGAGAATGAGGCTCCAGCTTACGTATGCTCTTCAGAATCCAGCACTACGCGCACATCGCAACCGTCTAAAACCACTATTTGACTCCTCTTGCTTATCTGATCGTACAGTCGCTTTTGGCGGCCTTGGGGTCCGTCCAGTTCATATCAAACGTGGGGTTTGCGTACTTCGTTCTGGGCGAGAACGTCACAAATCGGTGAGAGTTGGGCAAAGGCTCCGTCTTGAACGGGTGGCGCAGACTGCTGACGTTTGCGACGTGACAAGTTGTCTTGATACTGCAGTAGCTTATGAAGCACACGAGCTGTCGAAGAAGGGTACAAAAACTTGGTCGCTTCCTTCGTCGGACACTCCCGGATCTCCTCTTCATTCAAGCAGTGGTAATATGGATTCCTCTTGAAACGAGGCATATGAGCTCCGCTTTAACCAAAGAAGCTGGCCGTCAGCACGCTTTCGGGACAGCTCCCCACTCGAGGATCTCAGTGCTGACACCCCATGTCTTTGCTGTCGTTGCAGAATCGTCGTAGCGACAGCTTTGATTGTCGTTGGAAACATTTTCTTGGTAGCCTTTGGCAACCACGAGTCGACAAGTGAGTGACAACCGCAACCTCTTTCACAATGTCTCAGATGGACAACATTTTGCAGATTACGCCGTTTTCGCGTCTGGATCAGTTTCAACAAGTATCGTTGTGATTTGCATCTCTAGGAGTGGGACTCACGTTTCTTCTTTCTTGACACTGATTCTTAGAGCCCTTGTTCCCTTACATTAGTACGACTCTATACTGGATTTTTCGGCCAAGTTCATAGTCCTTCAAGATCCTTTCCATATTTTCCGGGTGTTCTTGCGTGCAGCTTACGGCCACGATGACCTACTCCACATGTACGAGAACCCAGTCTACCTCGTCTACTGCACGGTCCTTGTGTTGCTCGTGGGGGGGCTCTATTGCGTATACAGGTGAGCTTCCTCCTGAATCCCTTCGCAAACCTGTCAGTTATCTATGCAGGGCACCCATTGACAGTCACGTCAACCGTTTCGATGTCCATGGTTCAGGCCGGGGAGCGAACACGCCGAACTAGAAGCGGGGGCTGCTTGTCGGTCTGATTTGCAATTCAACGGGTGTTGTACCATCATGTAATGCAGCATAGTGGAACTTCAAAGCACCAATTGAGGTTAACCGAGTTGCTACAGTACGGTACAAGCCGTCCTTCCGTACATACCGTTGCGCAACATAGGCTGGCTATACGCAACCCACGCACCGCCCTCCGCTATGTATGGTACAGGTTGCTTTAAATGGGCGTTACTGCGCTAGCTGCAATCCTCATCGGTGATTAATCTGTGCGAAGCTCGCTGCTTCTGCATCGTGGAATCGACTGATGTCGTTGCCGGCCGCGGCAACTTCTCGTCTGCTTGAAGTGAAGTATGAAATGAACATTGCGGCGCTTTTGACGTCGTTGCTAAAATGAAAGTGACATCTTCAAGGCTCAATACGAGGGGAGCCAGAGCTTCATAGGGCGTTTGCGACATCCTGCTTGTTCCTTACGAGCTGAAAACTGATTTATGTAGGAACTCCTGAGGGTCATCTGGCTAAAGACAGGTACTTCATTACCAGTCGCTCCGTCTTTCGACATCCACCGACCCTAATGAAGCCTGAAAGTGGCTCAAGAAGTGCCCGGGTGTCTCCCCCAACAGCCTAATGAGGCCTGAAAAGTTGCTCAAAAGGTGCCCGGTTGTTTCCCCCAGGTACGGCCTGAGCGTCGTGAGCAGCCGCAAGTTCAGCGACCCGACCATCCCGCACCAGTGGCGGACGCTGGTGCCCTTCTCATACGCTATGGTGTCCGGCGTCATCGGCACGCAGTCCGTGCTCTTTGCAAAGTCGCTGTGAGTCCTGCGTGCAATACGAGATCGATCTGTCCCGCAAAGAGGGGAATGCTTATCGCTCTGTGTTATTTCCTTCTTGCTTGAGCTTGATTGGGAGATTGGAGGGCCGTCAGAGCCGTCTTCATCAAAGGGGAGTTTGCGGAATATAGGTTGATATGGAAACTCCTGTCGAGAAGGCCAAGTGAAACCCTTCAGGCGCTGCGCTTGAAGTGCTCTGCGCGTTCCTGTGGGGACTTACTTTGCGCGGAAGGCCTGAACCTCCGGAAATGACAGTCCAGATCAAATTGTCTCCCCCCTGGGTTGATAGTTTCTTGTGCTCGGAAGGGGGGCGGTCAGTTAGAAGTTAACAGGGCGTCAATTCCTCTTTGTTGGTCTGGTGAATCGTGGTTTTAACCAGTTGGAGCATGAGTCCCTTCTGATACATAGGACGTTAGTAAGGGAGGCAAGTAGGAGAGGACGCGACGAAGTGGAGCCACGTCATTGTGCAGGTCGGTTCTGATGCGGCTGACGATGCACGGCGACAGTCAACTGGACGGCTGGTTCACGTATGCAGTGGCCATTCTCTTCGCCCTGACCGCGGCGTTCTGGGTAAGGCCCTGCATCGCGATCTGATCTCAACACAGTTTTGCGGTGTGCTGTGATAGGTAGCGAAAGCGGTTGCGAAGGAACCGCTCTTCCGCACGGCATTTTGGCTGGTCATGAGCTCGAATCTTGCTAACGGCAATGAATTGGGTTGTGTTGCCTCTTCCATTGTCCGCTTGTTCCCCGTCCTTATCAAAACACGAGAGAAAGGCGATCCTGCGCTTTGCATTGAAGGAACGTCAAAGTCTGTACATGGGGTCTTCATGTGATGATGGGACTTATCATGGGACCTCTAATGCGACTTGTTCTGGGACGCATACTCTCACGGACTCAACTTTTCGTGGAACTCATCTCCTCTGTTTTCTCGTCGAAGATGGCGCGGCTGAACCAGGGGCTGGCCATGTTCGACGCGATGCTGATCGTGCCGATGCTCCAGATCGTGTGGACCTTCTTCTCCATCTTCACCGGCTTCATCTACTTCAAGGAGTACCAGGTGACGTCACGCTGGCGTCACCGAGTCACCAGCTATTGCGATGCAAACCTTTAGTGTTGGCAGTATCACATCGTTGCTGTGCCGACATAGACCCCTTTCTGCTTTTGTCTGCTGGACGCTGCAATTGCATAAGGGATGTCGTCGGGAAAATTGGTTTGGGAGTAATCGTTATCGCTTCCAATGGACGGGGTTTTGTGCCTGAGAGAGACTTCGCAGAGCAGGGTCGCTGCAAGGACTCAAACCACTTTCATCGCTTCCCCGCCTGCCTTTGTTGTAAAAAGGGCGTCAGGGGACAGCTCTTGCGGCGCTGGAGGATACCGTCTTTCACCTTGTTCACCCGTCTGTAGATCTAGATCTGATCATGAGAAGTTACTAATTGGTTCACTTCGCTCATTCTCGGGATTGCGGTTATGAAGCCGCAATTGCAGCCGAGGAGTTACATAATGTCAAAAGACGGCGAGAGACGACGTGGTGAACCGGCATTTCCGTTCGATGTCGTCAGCAGCCTAAAGGGATCCCTCGTGTCGCGCAGGTGTTTGACGGATTCCAGGCCGGCATGTTTAGCATCGGCATCTTCTTCCTCTTCTGCGGGATGTACCTCCTCGCGCCTAAGCCAAACAAAGGTGCGTTCTAACCATCAAGACCAGATTTGGAGACCTCCGGGTTTAAAGTTCACGGTCTAGGGGATCATGGTCAAAGCCCAGAACTTGAAGCCATGTTTCCGGACGTCCGGCGCCTCCGTCAACGGACTTTCAGCTTCGCAAGAACGTGTGTCAGCCCTTTCTGGGAACTCGAGCACGGAGCGTCCGAAGCGCACCTGAGGCTGTCCGAACGCGCGACACGGCGTTTGGAGCCCTTCAACAGCGTACGAAAAACAGTCCGGACAATCGAGTGCATGTTTAAGATTTTCAGTATTCTCTGGTCAAAGCCGCTTTGACCAAGATTTCGATTGCCCGAAATATTGTTCCATTCTTTGCCGACAGTCTATAAGGCGGGGCGCGTCCGTCTCTTTTCTTGCATCTTGTGCTGATGCCGTTGCTTTTCGTACGCAGTTGCGGCGGCAGTGGTCGACGAGGAGGAGCTAGAAACGCTGCCGCTGGTCGCCGATCGGCAAAAACCCGGGTGAGCCCGCGTTCGGCGCTGGAAGGTCCACGTAGCAAGTGTACATGGCCACACGTGGCAAGTGCAGAAGGCCCTACGTGGCTAGTGCACGTGGTCTTTCACGTGCCAACCTTAAACGTCCTTGACACTGCCCTAGGAGGGTGATCGATTGGGCGCCTGGATTAGGATCCATTTTACCTATCTCCAGAATCAAAATCTCCCTGTCTCTGTCGCTCAGTCTCCTTCCTCGCGCACTCAGCCCTCGTTTCGGTGCGACCGCAGGCTGTCTCCGGCCCCTAGCGCGAACTGGGACACCGAAGTGCAGAAGGCGTCCGTGCAGCCCGGCCTGGGGGCGTCCTCCGTGCACAAACGGCTCAGCTTCGGGGCGGCCGTCGGGAACACGCTCGACGAAGTGTCGTCCGGGGTTAGAGTGAGGACGTCGCAGAAGAAATTGGTTTTTTGAATTTGCGGTCAGCTTGATTTTGTCAATATTGCTCGGTTGTCCGCACATCCCGTCTTGGCCATCCCGAAACGCAACAGTAATCGTTCGTTCTTCCGAATGTCATACTTTCTCTGGGTTTTGGAAAGAAATCGAAGCTTGGAGAGAAACTTGCTTAAGTTTAGGGCCGAGCCGAGCTAAGTGGGCGTTCCCCAGTGTTTCCCGACATAAGAGCCAGAGAAGAGTTGATGGAAGATTAGTGGTTGCAAAACCCAAAGAGGGCAAGGATCCGGGACGTCGGTCTGCGAGCCCGTCAACTCTGACGGCTTTGACGGTCTTGTGGTCGGTGTCAAAGTTCCTCTTCTAGAAAGCCGTTGTGATCCTTTGTTGGAAAATTGGAAAATCGTACTCGTTGGGTAGTCGCGTGTAGCCCCACCGCAATGCCCGTTCAAGGCCCGTCCGCAGTTTCTTCTGACCCTCGCCATCCCTCCCTTTCCGGGCGCCTTTTCTCTGTGGGTGTTCTCTTTTGATTGAAAGTGGTGCCTGCTGTACTTCTGGCCTCCCAGGTAAAGTCCTCACGGTAAAGTGCTAACGGTGGAAGTGTGAAACAGAAGAAAACACAGGTCTTCATCTTTTGTGCGCAGTCCGCATATGACGTCAGCATGGGCATGGGGCCCGAGTCGGTACACACGGGGACGATCTTCACGATGCCAATGATTGCGAGCTCGCGCGTGAGTTGGCGGCGGGGTGCCGGGTCCGGGGACGAGTGGGCCCCCGGAGAGGCGCACCCCGACTTTGACGACGAATTCGAGTTGCCCCTCAGCATCGAATCCGAGCCGTCCGAATGTTCGCTCCGGTAATCAGTGCTTTAATGGTCCGGGTCCTGCCGCCGTTGAGCTCGTAGCAGGACCCTTGCCTGCTTTGGGAGTAGTCGGAAGTTCGAAAATTCTGAATACCTAAGTTATGTAGCATGCGTAGCCTAGTGGGGTTATGGCATACCGCTAGGTATTGGGACAGACTCCCTGTAATGAGAAAGGGGAGCAGGATTAGTAGCCACGATATCAGCTGCAGTCGGCAAGCTCAGTAAGCTCGTGCACTGGATCAAAAGTCTGGCAGTTTATCATGTAACAGAGGGTTACGGACCAGCCTTCCGCACCCCGTGCTTTGTGCATCAGGGCGCTTCTCGATGGAGACATTAAACGTTTTAGGTGGTTGCTACGAGAGGGGCGGCATCTCGTTTAGGCGCACCGCATGCGCATTGATGTCCTGCCTGCTTTGATCCAAACAAAACGGGTAAACGAGCAGCGAATCGCAGGTGACAAGCACTCCCCATGACCCTTGTAAACACCAGTGATGTAGACGTCCCTGTTTGATTGCACATTGGGCGTTTGATGTCATATTGTCAACTTGTAAATGCAATCCAAGATTTTCCTTGATACATACTCATGGCGCTTCACTATTCAAAACCTGGTATGACTTTGCGACTCCATTATCAGATTATCAATGCCCACGATCTGGCAATTAATAGCACTGCATGCCCAAATCGTGGGCATTGCATGCATCGCTTCGCTCTCACTTACAAGTCGATCTCAATTGTCCATGCGGCTGATCACTCCAATTCCCCTATAGCTCGTTGGCAAAGCGGCCGCCCGAGACTCGCAGGGCCAAATCATGCCGCCAGAAACGCGCATGATGGTTGCCTTTCAAACACTGTAAAATCTACGATACTTCACGTAGGAAAATGGACGTTCAGCGGTACATTTGCTTTTATATATGCATGCACCTGAACATGTGCATTGCATGTTGTATATAGTGATGGTCAAGGGTCCGATCTATGAAATGATTAATTGCAAATATGGTCAATGCACACATGTGCAACAACTCGAAGGCCAAAAGGACTTAAGTAAATGAATACGGAAGCCCATCATCACTGCATGGCGGCTGCAGACACGACTCAAACGAGCCCTTAAGGATCGATCGGATCAGAAATGGTCCTTGATCGATCGTGTGTCTACGATGGCGGGCTGTCAATGTTGGTCGCTATCGTACATTTTAGTGTTTAAGTCGATAATTCGTCGGCGGTGGGTCGAACAGAAGAGTGACAACGTGGCGGTGAGTCGAACCCGGATAGAGTGACAACCCGGCCGTGAGACATGGTGCCCGTCGATCTCAAGGGACTGTTCCTACAGTCTCCGCTGTATGGGTGGAGCTTGCTGCAAAACCCGTTTGTGGGCATGCACACAACCGTTGAACACATCGTATTAATCAGAAGTGTCAGCAGTAGAAAAAAGAAAAGGGTTTCTGTTTCTTGTCATTTTAACGAACGGTAAGAGGAGTGTATTGCAAAACATTGTATCGTGTTTTGTTTCCACTTTCAAAGATTGTTATATTTATTGTATGACTCCTATTCTCGGACACCCTATACGACGGTATACAAGGCAACATCAAGACAGCTTCTCATGTCTCATGCCCAACGTTCAGAAGTGTCTCATTGTTGTGAAGATGAGGACAAAATCTTGTGTACCAACTCGCCCAAGTTGTGGTCCTCAATCGCTTTCACCGCCCTCTCAATCGCCGTCCTTGCCAGCTGCCGCACCCGCTCACCCCCTTTCCCCTCCTCGATCAGACTCGCCATGTTGACCGCTAGGCAGAAATTGTACAACACCCCAAACTTGTAGTCCTCCACCAAGTCCTCAAAATCGTACCCCGCAAGCCGCTCCTGCATGCCCTCAACGTCCTCGGCGTCCGAGCCGTGCAGCGCCCCCCAGTACGCGTGTAGCAGCTTCTTCTCGTGCTCCCGTCGCACCGCGGGCTCCAAGCTCTGGCTCAGAAAGTACCCCACGTCGTGGGCCCCCCTCCCCGCGCAGCAGTCGCCGAAGTCAATGTACAAAAGGTTGGGCTCCTGCGTCACCCCGGCCGCGAGCGGCGCGGCCTTGTCGGCGTCCGCCTTCCCCCGCCGGATGTACACGTTGTCCAGGCGCAGGTCGCCGTGGAGGAGCGATCGGGGGGATCCCCCGAGCCGCTCGAGCAGCCCGGGGGCGGCGTCGGGGAGCTGGCTGAGGGGCGAGAGCAGGTGGTCGGGGATGACCCCCGGGAAGAGTTTGAGGGCGCGCGGCCAGGCGGTGCGGTACTCCTGGGGGTCGAACGCGAGGAATCGGGGCTCGTGCAGCTGGGGCAGCCAGCGCCACGTGTCGAGGTCGGGGGAGTTCCAACAGAGGGCCTGAAGAAGGTTTGGAAGGAATTTGGAATGGTTGCCCTTGGTAACCACTGGAATCCAAAAGCGACAGTGAGGAACACGCGATTTTTGATTAAACAGGTGGAAAGAACGGCATGCGAGCTTGTTCGAATTCCCTCGAACGGACTTCGCTCAGTCGATGAACGCTTGGCTCAGATTATCGACATCAGAAACAAATGCAGGCGAATGACATTGAAGGGGTGAGTGTCAGCAATGTCTCTAAGTACCCGGCCCCCGCTGCCTGCTTTGACCCAAGGTCAACCAGCCACTAGTTGTTTCAGGAGCGTAAAAGCAGGTCAACTTTAGCCCATATGTGTTGGAAGCAGTCAATCGATGCTTCGAGGACTGATGGAATTGGAGGTTGGGAGTCGAGATCCTTTTTCGCTACGTGTCCCTTTCCCAGCTTTTTGGTCCTGCAAGTGTTCAAACCTTCGAAGATGCTTCAAGGTGCCACATAGCCGGCGCTTCCCTCCAACCACACCCATGTGCGAACGAATGTCTCGAATAATTGTTCAAGGCCTCAGCCGTACTAACCACGATTTTCCTCCCGAAATTCCCAGGCTTTCAACGCCTTCGGAATCTCAGCAGCAGTAGATAGGGACCCTTTCATTTGCACGAGCTACGAAGAGATCCACAAGTACACCGAACCAGAAACAATCGAACAACACCAAAAAGTTCGCAATCGTTTTACCCACGTGAAAGCGCCCAATGTCCTGCATGACCCCGAGCGCCTCATCGAACGTGGCCCCCTTGATTTGGTCCAAAGGTTCAAAGTCTGAGACGTCCTGCATCAGGATGCACAACCGAGCAGTGTCCGGTTCGTACTCGCAGAAGTAGATCTCGGGCGTCCGGATTGGCACCTTGTGGCGATTGACGGTTGCAGGGGTGGCTGCGGGGCGAGTGCCGAAATTCTGGTAGAAACGGGCCTCTCGCTCGTAGCTTCCATTCCTGTGGGAGATGAGGGGAAGACTTCTGAACGTTCTGCTTTGCTTGAGTGGTCCAGGCATAGCTCCTGACCGGAATAGTAGAAAGAAAATGTGGGAATCCAACTGGTAGATCAGCTCCTGGAACTCGCCTCCTCTATTGTGCCCTGTGAAGCGATGGCATCGATGAGCTAGTCAGATTCGCACAATGGTTGCAGGATGATAGCCAATGTTTTTAGGGAGAAGTTTTCGAAAAATTTCAGTAATCATAGGTTCTGGCACCAGATACAAGGGCTGCATTTGGGACAATATCGAGGTTGTCACTTCTTGCATTCAATCACTCAGAAGGACTTGCTGCTTACTGCAGAACTCACCAAATTGTTTATAAACAAGACATTGAAACAGGTGATGCCCTTTCAAGCCTCTGGAGGGGCTTCGTCTGTGCTTCAATTGAGCAACATACAAGTTGCTTTCCCCTTCTTATGGAAAGGGCAGACATGTAAGTATGAAGTAAAGTTCCAAAGGCAGTCCGCTTTCTCTGTAGGAGACTATCTCCTGAACTTTCCAGAAACGATTTGAGGTTTCCCAAAGACTACCACTGGTTAAGGGACTGACGAGCATGCTTGTTCTGCGCTCCAGAATACGACTTGTGAGAACTTCATATGAAGCGGTTAATCAATGATTGTAACATAATGAAATCTCTTTTGAATGAAGTCACGATAATGTATCCGTCCTTAGGAGCCAGGTTGGTCCTGCAAACCAGAATGATGAAGCAGAAGCCAGGGTGATGGCTTTACTTTTCTCTCAAAGTATGAACTCTGGCAATCAGAAAAAAGGTACGCAAGCCAAACGGAGAGACAAATCAAGGAGAATCAACAAGAACAGTCCATTCGATGGCTTCATCTGGCCTCACCTTATTGCAAAAGCGCGTGCTTCATCTGAGGGGTGTGCAAACTTGGCCACCAGCCCGGAAGGTGCATGCGTTCCTGGTGCGCCGATGTATGTCACTTTCAGTTTGTACAAGGCAGACACAAGGCCGACACCCTCGCCAACCTGCTCAGAAGAAAAGGACTGCACTGCAGAGTCTGCACCAATTGCCCCTGACGTCCTCAGAATGTCGGTTAGCCACGAGGTTGAAAACTCCTTGATGTTGCTGGGGAAGGAGGCTTGAGGGGCGGCCTGGGTTGAGTAAGACGCATGGATTGTTGAGAGGCGGGAGAAAGTGCTGCTGTTGGTGGATTGAGAAGTGAAACCTCTGGAGCTTGAGAGGCTTGTGAAGGTTGATGAAAGAGGGCCTTGCAAGAAGGGCTGGTGGAAGGGGGCGACCAGATTGTGTCCAACTCGTGCAAGCGCACTTTGGCCCCCTAAGTCAAGGCCATCGCACAGGCTCCCTGCTTGGGGTGACAATGCTGGAAAGTCATTTGGCTCTAAATTGGGTGTGCTTGATGAGACAAAAGGGAAGGGCAAGCGAAACCACTGCATGCAGGGGACGGCAGGGAATCTGGACGAGGTTACTTGAGAATCAAGCGAGCTGGAGCTTTCATTGGGGCTGGAGGAAACTGTTTGCTGTCGACTTGTCCTGCATTGGAGCTGTGCACTTGAGTCACTGCTGTCTGCGTCCAACACGCCACAGCGTACGTCAGACTGGCTGCTTCCCAAGCCATCATCGGCAATCAAGCATGAGATGGCCCGCCATTGCAGCCCCTTCTCTACGGCTCCGCAGACAGCACGTTGGCCCGCCTTCTGCATTGCCATAACGGCGTCTCTGCAAGAAGTGCGACAGGAGCAACGCCAACTTTGATTAGCTGCTTCAAGTTCAAGTTCTGCATGCCTCGTCTTGTCCTCTTCTAGAGCTGTTTAAGCCAACATGCAATGGGGCCTGTTAACCGGTCAGGTTGTGAGACGGGGTTCTGAGTGGGTTAAGTTGGCGGAGGCCGGCTGGTATTGAGCCGACCCCGCTTCTGGATTTATGTGGGGAACAGGAATTGCTCGGTTACGGTAGTTCCCACAGTACTCGGTACAGCAGTTTCGGAGCAAGCTGCCCGGTTGCGATCGATAGATAGGGTCTATTTAGATACTAAATTTTGGTTAAACTTTAGCTATTGCTTTGACGTCATCTAAACTATCCGCCCGTAGCAGCCGCCGAGATAAATGAAAGGTGGGTTTCAAGCCGTCGATCGTCTCAGCAGGATTCATCGGAAGGTACATAACTTCCACGTGGTAAAATTGTTCTCCATCATGACGTGAATTGGATTGGTAACGTAGCTAAACTTACAGTAAGTTTAGCCTAAACTTAGACTAAATAGACCCTATCTATGGATCGCAACCGGGCAGCTTGCTCCGAAAATGCTGTAATGAGAATCCAAAACGGACCTTGTAACCAGGGCCCAAACATTCTGGGTTATGCCTCCCAAAACGGGCAGGTTATGTAATGCCTCAGAGTCACAGACCTGTATGTAGCAACGCAAACTGTGAACTTGAAGTTGAAGACAATTTTCTCTGTCATCAGACAACTTTTCTTTGCCAAGACTCAGAGTCGAGTCGGAGCCTGTTCTGGGGCGCTCTCTAGGTCGTTCCCTCCCGCACAAGCTGCTCTTCCTTACTCTTTGTCACGCAGCATTGCCCAGCCACTGTGCGTGGCCTGTATTGGGACCATGAATGCCTTCCCGCGGGGCTACTCGGTGGCATTTCACTGCGCGGGGCTAAAGGCAAATCAGTGGCGGCTGCTGCGCAACGAGCTCTTCAAGGTGCACGCGAAAGTCCTCTTCCGCGCGCCCGACACTCGGGGCCCCGTCTCGCTGTGCTACCTGACGAAGCCCGAGCAGGAGGTAACGCACGCAGACTGGAAGAGCTTTCTGCAGCGGTTGACAAAGTTGGCGGGGGAGTACGACCTCCTGCTGCTGGCGGGGAAGTACAAGGATAGCCTGCTGAACCACGTGGATCTGCAGCGCATGATCACCATCGAAGACACGGCGCAGCTTCAGCTTGTGAGCTACATCAATTCGCTGAAGTACCAGCCGAATGTGGCGCTGCGGGGGGCGCTTGCGATGAGTCAGCAGTGCATAGCGATGGCAAAGTTTGCACATGAGAGGGAACAGGAGGGCGAGAAGAAGGAGGAGGCCTAGTCTCTAATCAGGATTGGACTGTGTTTCAATATTTTTAGCTTAGGAAAGGACAAAAACGGATCGTTAACAGTAGGTCAGAATGCAATAGCTGAAACAGTTGCCAGGTAGCAACGCCGATCAACATATGTGTCGTCAAAGGTCACAAACCGAGGCTCCATGCAGTTTAGTAGCAACTGTGTATAATAAAAGGTGGTGGCAAGACATCAGGCACCAGAAGAGATCCGCTAGCAATTCTGTACGCTCTGAAGTGCAGCAGAGTCATTTACAAAGCCCCTCGATAGCGACAATTCTTTAAGCTCTTAGTATCTTGACACCGGTTGTTGTCCTGGTAGATTGTGCGTCAAAACTGCAAATGCCACCTTGTGATGAAAGTGGTATCTCAGGGGGAAAGGATGGAGTGCTACTGTACTACAAGTATGTGCCGATTTCAGACGTTCCATTGATCGTGAAGTGGTATGAAGACCTGTGCACGAGCCTGGGACTGGTTGGCCGAATCAGGGTTTCTCCGGAGGGAGTCAATGTAACGGTGAGGGCTAATCACCCTCCCTTCTTGTCTGCTAGCTTTGTTCATCACTCCCATGCTTCGCATGCAAGATTGAGAAACAGCCTTCACAAATTTGTGCTGAACATGTGTCAACCTGATGGAAGCGGCGGCAGAGCTTCTGGCTCGACTTTGTCGCTTGAATCACTGGCTGCTGAGGGTGGTGTGACGTTTTCCGCGCAATCTTTTCCACGCTGGAGAGAGCGCCCATAGATCACTTCTATTTTAAAAGGTTGGGTCACTGTATGTCGCATTTACGTCAGAGGAGTAGTCCGCTAGTAAGTTCGGCACCCCTTTAGGTCGTTCCAGAAGCTTTTGATGCAATGGTTCCAGTAAATTGATGGTTTACATAACACACCGTTTTTTAACAGATCGGTGGCTCAACGGTTGCCCTGGAGGAACACATTGAGCAAGTTTGCAGCCACCCGAGCCTTGGCAGCTGCGACTTCAAGGTCGCGCACTGCGTCGAGCCGCTCCTGGCGAACCCGGTCCTGGTGCAAGAGTGCGGCTTCGAATCTCTCTCCGTGCGTGCAGTAAAGGTGAACGATCGTTACACGTCGCTGGGTGGAGATTTGGCGATGCAAATGCAGCTGTTCCGAAAGCATTCCGCGATTCTAACGCCCTTCGGAGTTCCATTCCTTTTCTGTTTGTTGAATGGATTGCCTCCAGTACTGGGTTTCGTGTCATCAGCAACAACCGCGCAGCAACCAACTAATCTGCTCGGACGCAAAAATGGGCCCCGAACCAATTGCGTGGAGGCCTTCTTCGCTTGTTCGGATGCAGTCATTCTGGTAGAGAAATAAGCAGCATCGCATCTCTGAATCATTGAGATCATGCAGGAGGTCGTTTCCCTTGGAAATGTCGCGTCTCATGCCACTTCTGCGGTGGCGGGAACCCACCTATCCCCTACCGACTTCCACCAGCACCTCTTGGCAGCAGCAACTAGACAAGCAGAAGACGTAGGCCGTCCCAGCGGCGGGGTCGTAGTCCTTGATGCAAGGAATGTGTATGAGACGAGGATTGGGCGCTTTCAGCAGCTCCCAGGTAAGTGCTCGGATATGCTTCAGGCAATTTCTTAGAGCTCAAATTGGTCATAACGAGCTAGCTTGTCCGAACACTGTTGGTCGACAAATTGAGGAGTTTTGGGTTCCAAGTTCTGAGACGTTCTGGTTTGTTCCTTCGGGTTCTGTCACCAGGCTTGTACTCTGATCCTCTTCATGCTGGCCGTCAGCTATTGAAAGACTGGCAGCTTCCCCAATTCAGATTGCTGTGTCTAATTTCCTCTTCTTCAATCCGGTGCTTCTCATGGTCAGGGAGAGGAGCAGCTCTTCTTCGGCTCTTAGAGTTGGGAGGAAAGACTTTCCTGGGTATAAGAGAACTGATGCAGTCTGTCAACTGCAGGCGTCGAGTTCTGTGACCCGCGCATTCGGCAGTTCAGCGACCTGCCAGCCTGGCTGGATGCAAACGAGGACCGGCTTCTAAACAAGCATGTCTACATGTAAGCCTTCTAAGGTCCTCCCTGCTTCATCAGCGCTGTCGAATCTTCCAACAGTTGGTCAGACGATCGTATTGGCGTTTCTTCTATTCAATTCTATTCTGGAAGTTTTAACCACTTGACGTGTTCAGCGGTGCATCCGCGAAGAAAAGCTGTTTTTCAAGAAGCAAGCACAACTCTTGTATCGGAAACCTCTGCTTATGCTGCAGCGCTCTGCATATATCCGACTACGGACCCCCTGATGACCCCTCGTCAGAGTTCGTTCTTCCTCGTTTGTGCGCACTTCGTGGGAAGGTGTTTATTTCAAGTTGGTTCTCAAAACCGCTAACCCGAGCCATAGTGACGTGACAAGCCCTTTCTCGTGCACCAGGTACTGCACCGGCGGCGTCCGCTGCGAGCGCGCCTCCGCATACCTGCGCGTCAAGGGCCCCGGATTCCGGAACGTGTACCAGCTCTCGGGCGGCATCCAGCGCTATCTCGAGGCTTTTCCCGAAGGTGGCCTCTTCGCTGGGAAGAACTTCGTGTTCGATCCGAGGTGCGTAATGTGATTCGCTCTGGACATGTGATTGGGACTTTCAATGGGAATCGTCGCAACCGTTGACGAAATCAATGACCGTAGAGAGCTTGAGGTCTAAGACTGGTTTGACGGTCTGCTGCACATCTTTCTGGACCGAAAGCACGCCTGCATTAAGCGCAGGCTTTTACCCTCATTGTGGGTTCTCTCTTGCTCCATTGTTAGTTATCGGGCTTGGTGGGCTAACGATCTTCTGCAGACATCATAGCAAAATTCAGAGACTGTATCCTACAAGCCGTCGAACCCACGCTTACTCCTCCCACAAGTCCTCGTTTGGTTTGTTTCGCCTTCGAGACACTTCTGATGCCCGCCTTGCAGAGTCGCTGTTGGAAGCACGAACAAACGCAAGGTCGGCCGCTGCCTGCTGTGCCAATCGCCCTTTGACGACTACTCCCCCCGCTGCCGCTGCTCCCAGTGCCGCCTGCTCGTGCTCGTGTGCGGCGACTGCCGGGAGAGAACGGAGTCTGCGGCGTACGTGTGCGAGCTGTGCCAGGATGCTGGAGCGGAGACCCGTGCAGCATTTGGGAACGAGAGTGGGGTGAGAGTGTCGGAGCTCGGAAAGGAACAAGTCACTGGGTCGGAGGTCGGAGATGCTTCGTTGGGGGATGATCCCTCAGCGGTGGGGACTGGGTCGGAAACGGAAGTTCTGGAGACGGGGACCAGTGACGCGGACGGCCAGAAAGGCAGGGTGATAGATTCAAGCGTAGAAAGCGGCACTGACGCTTTTTCGGACAGGGTTTCCGGACGAGAAACCGGAAGCCATGGGGAAGAGGCCCTGTCACGGAGATCAGCGCCACAACGCCGGTTGCGAGTGCTGTGCCTGCACGGTTTCCGGCAGACGGGGCGGGGCCTGAAGGGGCGGCTGGCGGCCTTCCAACGGCATCTCGGAGATTTGCTAGAGCTTGTTTTTGTGGACGGACCCTTTGAGCTGCCCTGCGTGTACTATCCGAAAGAACTAGGCGGGGGGATAGCTGGCAGCGGCGAGGGGGAAGAGTCCGCAAAGAGCAGCACAGGTGGCGCAGGCGGGTTTGGAGTAGAAGGGGCTTGTGAGCGCACAAGAGGGGTAGACCGCGCGGAACGAGGGGCGGAGGGCCGGGTGCGTGAGCGGGAAGTGTCACCTCAAACGGAGGTGGCTTCGGGAGAACGGGAGTGCTCTACAGGCAAGGCAACCAGCTTTGCGGGTCTCAGTTCAGATCCGCCGGCTTTCCACTCTGTGGTTCGGGTTTCCGGCAGCACGGAGTTGAATAAACAGGCGTCGAAAGGCCCGTTTCCGAAGTTCGCGTGGTTGGTGTCCCCTGAGCAGCTGCTGGAGATTGAGCGGTCGGGGGACAGCTCCGGGCCAGTCAAAGAAACGGCCGTTCCGGACACTCTTGGAGACGACGTGGACACGCGAACATTTGCTGAGACGGCGGCCGTCGAGATCCGACTAGAGGACAGTACCGCTGAGAAGGGGAAGGCTTTTGGCAGGAGTGAGGAGGCGGATCAGAGAGCGGGTAATGCGAATTGGAGGCCGGCGTCTGCGCGATTCGGACCGCTCCAGTACCTGACGCAGACCGCGGGATGGGAGACGAGCCTGGCGCACCTGCGACGGCTCGTTTCAGAGCACGGCCCCTTCGATGGGGTCCTCGGGTTCAGCCAAGGGGCCGCGGTAGCCGCCGCACTGTGCCGCTGTACGACAACTGCGGACGGGTTCGGTGACAAGAACGAGTCCACGTTTAGATTTGCTGTCTTGTGCTCCGGGTTCCCCTCGCCAGCGGAAGGAACACAAGGTGTGGGTCCGCAGCGTATTGATCTTCCTTCCCTGCATGTCTTTGGGAGCGTGAAGGGGAATGATAGACAGATAGCGGCTGCTGAGAGCGAAAGGCTGGCGGAGCAGTTTGAGCCGAGACCTCGGGTCATTGTACGACACAGTGCGGGGCACATTATCCCAGTCTCCAGAAGCCACGTTAATCAATACAGATCCTTCTTTCTGAAGGCCTTGTGAGAAGCTGTTTGTTAGCTGCGAGGAACTTGATAAGTTTGAGTTTATACGGAAGTTGTTTGTCATGGACCGTTCAACAGTAATAAGCCCGTCAGGGTTGCTCCCCAGTCCTGTTCAGGCAATCTGAGGCGGGTTGAATGTCTGAGCTAGGCAGCCGGCTGCTGCCTGCACATGCTCCTAGACAATCATTGTTTGGTGCTGTCGACTCGTGTGATCATCATGGCCGGGCCATGAATGTGCAGACTGCCAGTCCATAGCAAAGGGTATGTATCAAATTCAGGCATGCAGTAAATTGCAGGACAAAGCGATACGTTGTCACTCTGAGTGAGCTATTTGATGGGGTTTCCTTAGAATATACCGACACAGACCCAGACGGTCACCATACGGCCCGCACTTAACCTGCGTTACGGATTGAAGTCAGCGCCGCGGGTGCAACTAGGACACACGAAGATAGCTTTCAAACGTGCATATACGTATTTGAGTCTCACCATCCTCCATGTGCTCCGCCAACCCCTTATACGTGGCATGACAAAACCGCACTGTATTTTGAACTTTTTGACCAACATCTATTCCATTGATGTGATGCGCTTGCTAGCTGCTCACATGAGCTGTGAATTCATGTCTATGCATGTTCTTTCTGCGAAACTGACATTGCCAAGGTCATGAAAGCACTTCGATCATACCCTCACTGCTTGGGCGATTATATCCATTTTTGACCAGTTGCAAGCACAAGACTGCCAGAAGCATCTCTTAATCGAATGCAAGATGTATCTCATTGTAATGCTGATTCTACACTCTCAAGCCTGAATCAGAACAGTATGTTGCCTGTATGACCGAACATAGCTCGTCCCTTACCGACTTCTCACTGGCCAGATAAATGTCCCTTGCATACTCTACTCAGTAGTAGTCGTCATCAGAGTCTTCATAGTCGCTTTGATCGCGGAAAGTCAGCGCGGGCTCCTCCTCAGAAGGACAGCAATCTGGGCACTCACAATCATCGCAGAGCCTTTCGCAGCACTCCTCACAGCGTCGTTCTATCTCGCACATGCACGTGTGCACCTCACATTGGTAGCAGAATTCGGCATCATTGAAAGATACTGTGCAACCAGCTTGGCATTGGAAGTCATACTCAGAGTCCTCTTCGCTGATTTGTTCTGTGTCAAACTTCTCCAGATAGTCGACGTCGTTCCCGTACATATCGCTCATCAACACCAGCTTGGTCCTTTTCTTCTTCCAGGGTGCTGCGACCTTTGCTTCCAGTTCACGGAGGAACGCGACGAGCTCCCTGGAATCCAGCCTTCCACAGTCCCTAACATTGATAACCTTTGGCGGCTGAGCGCCTGGACCAACCCTCTTTGAGATGGCCCACAAGGACTCCGATGTCAGATCATGACACTCCGCCAGGTCAATCACGCTGATATTCATCCGGGGGATCCCTCTCGCTCTGTTGAGAATCTTGACGAGCTTGGCATCGTTCAGCTTAGCTTCTGGTTTGTACGAGCTCTTGTGGATGTCGAGGGCTGCATTGGCCCACAGCTCAGGCGCAGAGACCGCTGTGCGGAACGCCCGGCTGACGCATTCAGCCACCGCAAGCTCCTTGATGCCCAGCTTTGAGAGTATAAGGTCAACCACATCCTTTGGAAAGTCATCCCATTGGAAGCCTTGAGAGCCTTCTTCCTCGACCTCCGTCATGGTCTCCTACAAAATTTTGCTTTTCAAAACTGAGCTCAGAAAACTGGCT